TGTGGGGGAACCGCGAAGCCATGTGAAAAAAGAGCCCAGTGACTCAGACACACCGCCGGACTGGGGGGAGTACAGATGAGAGCCCAGCCAAGGAGGCCGCCGCGGAGGTGGGACAGGAGCCTTGGGAGAAAGGCAGCCACAACGACCCAGCAGACCGAGGAGGAGGAGATGAACAATGGCCGTGGGGTCCTGAAGGCAGGCCGTCGGATAGAGCCAGCGACCAACAGCGGCCCAGCGAACCCATGGGGGAGCCACCAAACCAACGACGACCAAGTGAACCCGCGGGGGAGCCGAAGCGCCGCCGCCTTCTCGGAGACCGACCCAGTGAACCTGTGGGGAGCCCTCCAACAAGGAGGGGACAGCCAGCAGAACGCCTTCATGAAGACCGACCTCGTGAACCTGGGGGGGATCCTCCAGCAAGGAGGGGACGACCAGTGGAGCTGGTACCAAACATGCAATGGCAGATCCAGCAGGTTCAAGACCACATGGCACGACAAAGACAGGCAGCAGAGTGAGCGTGGCAAAAGTGAGCGTGGCAATTTTCCTGGCTTGCTAAGGCCCCAACTAAAAGGCCGTTTTGTTCGCAGTGCTTAGTTCAAGCCCAGAGCCAGAGGGGAGAGGAGAGTCGATGGTTTATGTGGGGGTTGTGCTTTGGTTTCGGCCCTCCTCTTTCCCTAGTGTGCCCTGCTGAGAGCCCCGCCCCACTTTCCGGGGGATCTTTTGCAAAACCAACCCTGCCGGGGGAATGCACGTGCTTGTACCATACGTGTTACATACCACATTCTTTCAGCCACCTTTGCCAACATGGCAGAGCCGTTCCGTCCCTTTACAATTCGCCTGCAACGCCGTCACTTGTGACGAAGTCTGATCCGCCTCTTTGCCACAATTCAATGCTTCCTCCTGCCTCGGCTGGGGGGAGCTACAATTTGACCGGCACTTTTCAGGCCCCCCCGAACCAGCTCACAACTAAGGATATTGCCGTAGGGGCGCGGTGATGAGGCGGGGGTTGTGTTGTGTTTAGAGTTCGGGGGGTGTTCCTGTTTACACCTCGGGGCCTATTTTGTTTTTCCTTGCCTAATCTGGACTACCCCAAAGCCGTCCACTCACTAATACAGTGTGGGGGACGGGCGGGCGCAACGCCTGCGGGTCGGTCGACGACCCCTAAGCCCGGCAGAAAGAAAGAAAGAGAGAGAGAGAGAGAGAGATACCAGTACAGCAGGGCGGGGGCACCCGTCTTTTCGGCACACTGTAGCTACGGACCGTTGCTGACTTTCTTCTCCGACTAAGCCGAACGGGGGCCCCCACCTACCTACTTTTCAGTGACGTGGGGAACCAAGTGGTTGAGCACTTTGGCCACTTTCACTAACTTGCTTGTTTTCTAAACCATGGGGGAACCCACCACTTCTCCTGAAAAACAGGAGCACACGTCCATGTACAGACAGAGCCCATCCATTCCAAATAATGGATGGGGCAGCGCACCCGCGCGGGGCGGGGGGACTGCTCCCGCCCCAAGCCCCTAGCAAAGCAAAGCAAAGAGAGATAGAGAATTGTGCAGTCGTGCCCCTGGCCTTTGTGACACCTGCAGCCAGCCGCGCACAGTTGAGGGGTTACAGTGTACCGTTGTAGGCGCAGTTGTTGGGACAGTGTTGTGTTGATGCGGTGGCTGATCACCAACACGGTGATCGCAGTGCGGTGCCAAGCTTGAGATGCAGATCCGACTTCCGGCGAGTGGGGGGCCCCCCCCCTTAGCCTACGAGGGTGGATGGGGGTTAGTCTAGTGGTTCGGGGGGCAAAGCCGGTGAGTCAGATCGAAGCCAGTCTCGGCCAGTCTCTCCTTCCTGTACTCCCTCCAGTGCGCGGAAACGCGCGAGGGGGGCACGGACCTATTCGTGCTTCCCTCTGACTGTGCTGAAGAAGAGATAGAGAGAGAGAGTTCACACGTTCGTAAGCCCTAAGTCCTGAACGGGGGAATGGTATTTGCCTCAGAGTGTCTTGCAACGGAACATGTGAACATCGTATATGCATATAGTTAATATTCTATGGCTTTAGCGTCCACGATGTTCGCTGTTCTTACGTCACCCCCCGAGTCCGTCAATACGACGGGTGGGCTTGAAGCCCGGGGGCGTTTACCCGCCCTCATGCCCGGGAGAGAGAGAGAGAGAGAGAGAGAGACAGAGAGAGAGAGAGAGAGTTCACACGTGTTCTGTGAAGTAGCATGGTTTGGGCCTCAGTCGTTGTGTTGTGCAGTGCTTGCAGAGTTGCTAGAGGGGAACAGCAAGGGCTTCCAGTGCTCGCTGCCGGGAAGCAAACCATGCTTCACGGAGCTTTTGAGCACCAGCCGTGCCCACACAGCCTAGTGGGACGAGGCGCGAGGCGGGGGGTTGCATAGGTAAAGTCCAGGGGGGTTTAACGGTCCAGAACAGCGCCTTGTCACAACAGAGGACACTTTTTCACCACAGACTTCCCAGTGCGCACATGTGCCCCGGGGCGGAGGGAGACCGACCCCTTGGCTGCGTGCAAGCAAGTTCACATGTGTAGGGGGTAAAGCCCCTGCACCATAGCCCTGGCGAAAGAAAGGAGTTCACATGTGACCTTCGAAACTTGCGGACCGTTGAGGGGGTAGACCTTCGGGCCAGGGTTCCTTCGGGGGCCCAAACTCCTAAGCAAGCAAGCGCGCAAGCAAGCAAGCAAGAGTTCACATCCGAGTACCAACCATGATAGGAAAAACTGAATTTGCTGACGGGGGGTTGCATTTGCTTCACTATTACTCAATGTGGTGTGTAAGAGTGGAGGGCCGATAGTTCAGACAGGCTTTTTCCCCCTGAAGCTGAAGCTTTTGTGACCCTTTGAGTGGGGACACAATGTCAGAGAGCACCAAACTCCACGTGCAGCCTGGGCACCAGCTCCTATGCTTTCCAATAGCTGAGCCCATCTGTCCAAATGATGGATGGAGTTGCGCTGAAGCGCGAGTCAAGCGGACTGCCCTTGGCTCATGCCCCAGAGCAAGGCAAAGAGTCCACGCCTCTCGCCCCAAAAACACTTCGGGTGGGCATGATGCCCGGAGGCGTTGACCAGCTTCCATGCCCGGGAGAGGGGGAGAGAGAGAGAGAGAGACAGAGAGAGAGAGAGAGAGAAGTTCTGATGTTGTTATTGTTTTTTACGTTGCGATGTTGCTTGTAGTCATATCCCCGGCCCGATGTAGTGATGAACTGATTGCAGAAGTAGTCGAAGACCCTGGGGGATCGCAACACTACATTACTTAGGTTACTCTGTCAACTGCTGTAGCTATTACTTAGGTTACTCTGTCAACTGCTGTAGCTAGAAAAGATCCACCTGGGGGACTACGAAATTAATTTCACACTCCTCCAAAGTCCCCACAAAATATGGGGGGGCCCTAGTGGCCGAGGGGTCTTAACAGCCCCTCATGCCCGGCGGAAGAAGAGAGAGAGAGAGAGAGAGAGAAACATGCCGCCCACTCCATGGTCCATTGGGGGGACGGGGCCAACGGCCTGTGGGTCGCACCGCGACCCTTTATGCCCAGCAGAAAGAAAGAGGGATATGCTGATTTGCATTGCAGGCCGTTCCGGGCTTCCCGGTGCCCTCCTTGCTGAGGCACGCAGCAGTTATGTCTGCAAGTCGGGAGTGTCTAGTTTTTCTGGGGTGTAGGCCTGATGGGGGCTTGAGCTTTCCTTGCATCTCGTCATTTCGAGCCACTAGGGCTGCTAGATTTCCCAAGTTCAAAGTGGCTTGAATGCCGTCGGCCGTCGATGGATACATGCACTCCATGCGGTTGAAACAGTCGAGCGTGGTGGTGGTTAATTTCGAGTCAGTAGACTAGAAGCCCGTATCCCCCATTGCCTCACCAAACACTAGGCTTGGAGGCATGAAAATCCGTAACTTTCCTAGTTGCACCCTGTTGCCTCGCTTTCCGGCAGGCGCTTTGCCCGCGTGGTTGTGGAGGATATGGCCTGGTCTGTGCTGAAGGACGCCCCACCGATTGAATGGGCCCGCAACGGCCCCGCCTCGAATACCGACAGCCGCCATTGCAGATGCCGGGGATTTGCCATGTATGCGGACTGGATAATCAGGCTTACTTGCCGTGACGAACTCGGACTGCACTTCGTGCCAGCGAAAGAAAGGAAGGATTAGGATTGGTTGTTCGGACATCGATGTTTCGCGGATGTTATTGCATGGCATGGCCGTTCAGCTTGTTTTTCGCTGATGTCCTATTGGAGTTTCTCGTGGATTTCTAACGGAGTGTTCTGACGGTTATATTGCCTTCAAACAAAATCAGCAAAACGACTCAGTGTCAAAATGCGCGTGCTTCGTCGGCCAACAAATCTTCACGCCAAAACACTGCATTAAAAAAGTCGCCTGGATTGTCCGGGTTGTGAGCGCCGAGAACAGACCGCTCGAAGCTTGCCCAGAAAGACAGTGCCAAGAAGGAAGGAAGTATCTACGGGTGCGTGAGTGCATCAAGGTCGCGAAGGGTTGTTTCATTGAGTGAATTAATGACTGAGAGAGTGAGCGAATGAGAGCCAGACATGTATGAGTGGTTCAGGTCTTTGGAACAGCGGTCCATTCGGACTGCACCTCCGCTCGATGAAATCTATGCCGACTTCGTGAGAGTGAGTGGATATGCCATGAGCGGAGAGTTGTGTCCGTTCCAGCTTCTGCCGGGTGGTCGAAAGCTTGATCGCCAAACAGGACCTACGCGATGCTGCTGCTGATTCTCGCGCTTCTGCTTCTTAGTGTGCGTTCCACTACGTAGCATCAGAAGGAACCGGTGTGCGGACAGAGACTCATTTATGGCAATGCGATCCGTGTGTGGGTCGCCATGCTGCTCTCTCAATGCCTGTGTGCATTTGGCAAAAAGCAGATTTTGTGGTGGCAGGCACACGTAGGTTTTATTCCTCATAGAAAGAGTTTGCCGGCGAGCTTCTCATTCGCATCAGCACTGAATGAAACTCGCAGTTTGACTTGGAGTTGCAAGTTGACAGGTGCCTTAGTCGAAGAGCTGAAGCTGGAAGGTCAGGCTGGGCTCCTAGGTTTGCAGTGAGAGCGTCGGTTACCTTTTGGAGTCGTAGGAGGGTGCAGACCTTGCCAACACCCGAGGTGGATTTGCGCCCCGGGCGTCCTGAGCTGAGTGCAGCAACATGCTTGCATCACTAAGCAGTCATCGGGTCTCCCAGCAGGTTGCAAAAAGGCATGTGGCCAATCTGAGAACGTATGCTGCATCTTTGAGAGAGCTCCAAGAGGACAGACTGTCCTACATGCTGATATATGTCTCTTGATACTGTGGCAGTATACCATACCTTGTGTATACGATTGTATATGTATACAATCATATGTATGTATGTGTGTATTTATGTATGTATGTGTATATACATATATACATATATGTATATACACATAGAGAGAGAGAGAGAGAGAGAGAGAGAGAGAGAGAGAGAGAGAGAGAGAGAGAGAGAGAGAGAGCGAGAGAGGGGGAGGTGGTTTCGCTGTCATTTCGCTCTCTCTAAGTCGGGAAATAGACCTAGACCTCTCTATATCCTTACCCAGCACTCCACAACGGGGTGCGGCGGCGCGCAGGGGGAGGGGAAACCTTCTCTTCAGGCCTTTTGACAAAAGACTCAAAGAGAGGCAGATAGTTGCATGCATGCGAGCATGGAAGCATGCAAGTAAGCAAGGCAGATAGGTCAAGGTCTCTCTGTGTGTGTAAATGTGCGCACCCTGATTGTCACGCTCAGATTTTCTGTCTCTTCTGGTGCGAGTGAAGGGTCAAAAGTATGCGGCTTGGAAGCCAAGGACACGAGCTCAAGGCCCCTGACGGAGCGTTCCTTCTGGCTTCGCACAGTTTCGACTTCGGGTTAGTTCAGGATTTCGGGATGTTGTGGGGTTGTTTTGGGGTTTAGGGTCTCTGATTGGGGGTTTGTACAGACGCACACACTCACGGGAGGCAGGGAAAAACAGCTTGAGATCGTTACGGTTACGTGCTGCACCTTCACGCCAGTTTCTATTGGGCAAGCCCTTGAGAGCTCATCGGCCTTTCCGGGTTGTAAGCGTGTAATGTTTTGAATGTTGGTGACCACACACCTCTCGGCTGCGCGGGTGGCGGCACATTGACATAAGGTATCGATACTGCAATGTTTGCACCCTGAAGAACATACCTTTCGTTCTGGCACACGAAAGGGCGAAAGGGTCGATCACTCGTCAGCGCCAGGTTTCATCCAAAAGCAAGCTTGAGCTGCGTGACGCTCGAGAGCGTCTTCTTGAGTCATTTTGATCTTCCTGCAGAGGGCCTGCGCTTGCGACATGCCTGGGCAGAAACCAGCTACATTAAGCTATATCCCCTGGTGATGCATGGATGGCAGCCCAGGTCTGTATCTTCCGCTGGCAAGCGGAGGCCTTCTGCAAAGCGACTTCCATAGGGCGACTGTCGAGCAAATGGTGGGAGAGAACCACACAGAAATGTTGACATCTTGATACCTCCTGTATAAGCGCGAGATCAGAGGGCTCCTCATGATTCACAGCATGTGAGCTTTCCAGGTGTCAGCTCGTCCTGCATGCAAAGCCCCCGACACCTCAGCACGAGGCTCCTGCTTCCCTTCAGCCTTTTGCCAGATTCAGGGTGGAAAGATTCCACTCGCACTTGCCTTTGCAATCTATGTTAGCCTTATCACGAAAGCTAGCTCTTTGGAGCTTGCGGGAGTTGTCGTTCACCAATGCCTTCCTACATAGTTCAATGGGTGCAACGAAGGCCTGGGGCCTTAAAATGCTTCAAATCAAAGGAATTAAGCGCTGGGGGGGGGGGGGGGGGGCTGACACTTAGGGCCCGCGGGCGTTGATTTGAGGCAGGGGGGAGGGGGTCTCCCCCCTTCCCCCAACAGGACCTCTCCTTCCCCCCCCCCCCTTGAAGGCCATGCTTGCAAGCATAGCCGTTTGTAGAGTTTAGAGTAGTTGTTGTTACTGTTACTCATAGCCGCTGTAGAATTTTGAGTTCTTACCACTTATCGCTTCTAGCTTCCGTAGCCCTGCTCTCAAGTCTAATCTAGCAATATCTAACAGATTCTAAACAAGTGTGATATACGCACAGACGTGCCGGCGTAGGTCCGTCAGCACGTTTATGCATGCTTTCGTTTCGCTCGTTCGTTCGCCTATACCAGTACCTGTAGAACGCAGCAGCGAAATTAATTGGTATATTCTGTTGTACACACACATACCAAGCTGTAGATACACATGTAGGTTGCATGATGTGTGCTCACATAGTACATAGGTGTGTGTATGTAGATATCTATAGCTGTACAAACCGTGCATGCATGAAAGTCGCGTCGGGTCTTGTCCTGTCGGGTTGGGTCGTGGCCAGGTGTGGCAGTGGAGGGTAGGTCAGGTCACGTCACGTCATGTCGTGTCCGTATATCGCTTCTCTAGACACGCGTCCCCAGTGCCACGGCTTGAAAGGCAGTTGCAACGCGCTTGCAGCTTGACCTGTCCGCTGCTTGTTGCACAGGACGTGTCAGCCATTGCAAAAGTCAGCCCAACTTTCTGCCGATACTGCCCTCCTTGCATTCCCTACTGCGTTCCTTCGAAGGACAGGCCACGAAACACCTCTGGCCTTTGCCCAAGCTCAGGCCTGGAGTCCAACTGGGCGGCGCTGGGGCCTCAGAGATCTTCACAGGGGAATTGACAGTATTCTGAGCTGAAAGAAATCATGACGCCCTGAGATCGAAGTCTGTCTCAGAAAGTCTCCGAGTGCAGGTTGCAGGGGCCCTCGACAGCATCTGGGAGCTCTGGGTCTCGCCGACTGTTTGAAGGTAAAGTGGCGGATGTAACATAAACCTCGAGATAGTTTTGCCCGAAGGACGTCTCATGCCCGTGCTGGATTACATGCCGACAAGTTCCTAAAAGCAGAATCCAGGCTTGCAGACCCGAGCGACTTTGTGGGAACATAGAACAGCAGGCCGTGTATTCATGTGTACAAAAACCGGGGCCAACATTTCATGGGAGAGAGAGGTGATTCAGAACATGATCCACACCACAGCAGGGGAAGAGCCTGCAGCAAGCGACCTATTACGGAGTCCTGTGCACTGTATACTGGCTGCATGACGTGCAACCTTTACTATACCGTGCACAAGGTATGAGATGCTTGGACAACCTGATGTGATTGCATGACAGGTGCGAATCGACCGTTGCCATCTGCTCCAGGGGTAGGGCACGAGAGCATGATGGGATGTGTTGAGGGTCTCTCAAGCGGCTTGCAGCCATTGCCGTAAGCCACCTTCGCAAACGATATCCTGTCAGCTGTGCCTGCAGGCAACATGGCCTTAAAGGTTGAAGCGCCAGGGTTTCATGCGGCCTCAGGGCACCAGTCTATAGTGGCATACCCTGCAGCAAGAGGAAATCCGCTGAACTGTTTCAATGAGCATTTGACTCTTGTGCGCGCGCCCCCTTGCACTACGACTTGGGCGGCGACAGCAGGCCGAAGTCTTGAATTCACGGCGAAAGTGCACCTTCTCGATGCTGAAGCTCAAAACTTGCTGCCAGTGATCCCACTGAAGCAGGCTATAGAGTCCCGATGTCACACCAGGGCAGCCACCACCGGGAGCAGAAGCTGCTTCATCGCATCCGTGTGCTGTCAGGCATCCTGCGCGGAATATGGAGGGCATAGAAGGAAGCCTGCCAAGATCTCAGCACAGACTTTGCGGCGAGCCCTGTGTCAGCGGAACATCCGTGGAAGCAAATGCAGCTGAGCCCAAGGCTTCCGTTACACAGCGAATTGAAGCTGGAGGAGAGCTTTGTGGGCCTGGCTGGCAGTGGCGTCTCTCATTGAAAAGTGCTGCTCCTCACCAGCCGGGGCCCGGCAGGTGGGAATTTGCTCTTCGTTTCGAGCAGGATGCAATAAGCGTCCTGAAGTTCCGGCAGACCCTCCGAGAGGAGAGCGAGGCAGCCTGCGAGACCGCACGCAGAGCAGTTTGCCAGTCTGTCCCACTTTGCTGAACTCTTGGCTCTCAGGCCCTTTTGCACATGGTAGGAACACCTCCTGTTGAGTGATTCTCTGATCACAGCCAGCTTGCTGCAGGAATTTCCGCGGCGGCGGGCTCATGCTGTGGTGTTCCGAATTCTGTTGAGTCAGTGTCAGGCTTTGCAGCGTGTCGCGCTTCACTCTGTCTTTCGTTTGATGTCCAGTTGTATCATAGTCACTACAAGGAATGTGGCTTTGTGTGTTAGTGTCTCGAAAAGCACAGGGAAGATTCTGCCGCTGTCGTGGTGCTGATTCATGATTGCAGCTGCTGCTGCTGCTGCCGTTGGTGGTTTCGGCGGCCGTCGTGGTGGTAAAAAAAGCTTCGTCAGCAATGTGAGCATTTGTAAAAGCTTTAGGTGTGCTAGTGGTGCGACTGAGACATAGCAACGGCGGGTCCGTGGAAGAAACTCGACGCTGTTGGCCCAAATTTTTCGCCATAATGAGGCCGAGGAGCGTCGACCCTGCCAGCGCAGCGGTTGCTTCGATGCCTCCTGAGGAGCTCTCAGGCACAACATCACGGGATGCATCTGGAACCTGTACCATTCAGCCCGATATCGCGGCAGGTTGCGTCAGTATGGGCAGTACTCGAGTTTGCATACATTGTATATGTTCTCGCACTGTTCCTGTGCTGTACACACTCGCGCGCACGCACACAGACACACAGACACACAGACACGCTGACACACTGACACACACACACAGACACACACACACACACACACACGTCAAAATTATGGTCCTTTTTGGGGCCCTATTATGATCCGGCACCTATTAATTATTTAGGGTATCCAAAAAGGGACCTTAATTTTGACAACTTCAATTTCGCACACAGATAGGTACACACAGGCAGAGGTGGTGAAGATTTCACACCACCCTGTGCATATTTCGAGTCTTGCCGGCCAAGAAACGGTTGCCAGGCTTGCTTGAAGATTCCTGGAGAAGTGCGGAGTCGTCCTGATCCGAGCAATGGAACTTCGATCTTTTTGGCCTGTCCGTTGCCTGGGGAATTCAAGCAGGTTGGGACTGGACAGGGTTCTGAAGCAGCAAGTGGTAGCAAGGATGGTTTGTAGGCGTGTGGTATTCAGCCAACTGCCGTAAGGCGACGACCTTTCACAACACCTGGAGCTTCGCGGCCGCATGGTCTGTCCAGGCACGCGGGAGTGACGAAATCGTCCATTGCCTTGATTTTGTGAGCTCTCCAGCCGCCTGACCCCATACTGCGAAGGTTTTATCGTGTGAGACAGAATTGCAACAGCAGCTGAAAGCGGAATGCCAGGTCGAACACCTGCAATTCTTCTTTCTCCATTTCCGGCGCCTGGTCTGATCGTATTTTAAGTCTGGCACTGACTGGCACTGACCCCTACTGTGTTTGATTTCGGTCTCCAACCTCCAACGAGCAAGATTCAGGAGGGGCAACGTTTTTAAAATGAATGCCAGCTGATCAAGGCAGCGACATTTTGCGCCCGAAGTCCATCATCATTGCAGCTGTGCTCAGCCATCCAGAATGCAGCAAACCAGCACTGCTGCTGTTGTGGGTGCTGCTGCAGGTTCTAGTCTAATTAGGCAGGTCAGGACTGCAAACTGGGTGGAGTCACAAAATGTGTGAAAAGTCTTTGCTCCATGTCGTCTAGCTTGAGGACGAACCCGTTCCATCACGCCTGGTGAACATGCTCAAGCATCTGGGATGAATTACAGGGACGTGCAGTCGTCAGCACGTTGGACGCCCCGGCTCGGAGTTTCACGGTCTAACGTTCGCCGCTATTGTTGGCATGGGATGCCCCGCTGCGGTACGAGCGTTGACAAGTCAAGTTCTTCTCGAATTCTGATTCTGGTGTTCTGGCCAGAACCTCGCCAGTCTTCATACGATGCGTGGAGCTGTGTGTATACCCAAGGCAAGCATCCGACTTCGAGCGTCAGTCCAGGGAGAAGAGCAGTGCCTCAAGGCAATGGCTCGCACTGTCGGCGCACTCAATTCGTTGAAGTGGCGTGGTTATTGTGAGATGTAGCCTTGAACATTTTGCTTATCGTCTTTGTCCGACTTCTTTTTGCATGGGGGCTCTGTGCATGACCAGCCGCCCGTAAGTTAACCGGGCCACAACGCACGGATCAAGGCAGCATGTACACAGCTGCTTTGGGGCATCTGGGGGCCCATATGGTCAGGTGTCTGGCGTTCCCAGACCCCCCCCCAATGGTATGGTCTGATAGGGGTGGGGGGGCTGGCATGTGCGGAAAGGGGTTGGGGGCCGTTGGAGCTGCCACTGGATGGTGGGGTGGTGCTGGCGGCCAGGGCTCACGCGCAAGCCCTTCGCAAGCAAGCCGTAAACCCTATAAAGCAGCGCGTGCCCCTGCTTTGAGCAACCTTGACTTGTACTACACCCAACCCTAGACCCCACCTAACTGCAGGCTCTAAGCCTAAAGCAGAGCATACACCGCAAATCCTCCCTAGGCCCTTGTCGACTCTTGTCGACTCAAAGCCATATATACCTTGCAACCGCAAATAAACCCAAAACTCAAAAGCTTAAGCTAAATCCTAAACCCCAAAACCCCACAACCACCCCACAGGGGGAAGAGGAACCCCACACCCCACACCACAGGGGAGGGGGGTATCCGGACCATTGACCCTTGGGGGGGGGAGGGGGGGGCTTGCGGAGCGCCTGACCACATATGCCCTCTTCTCAGGCGGTCGCTCTTCACGCAGTCCTGTGGCTCGCTGCGGTCGAAAGCGAGCTTGTCTAGCTCGAGGCTTGTTGCGGTTGCGCAAGGATAGCGTGGAACCCGATGGTCGGTCGGTTTTAAGCCTGAGCTGTCCAAGTACGATCCCCATGCGATGCTCAAGACAGGCTTGTCTCTCCGGACTTCTTCCAGAAATCCAGTTGCTGTGCGAGTTGGGATAGGGTTTGCTTCCCTTGTTTTTGTTTTTCGGACGTCAGGCTTGTTCAGGATTCGGCTGCATCAATAACCTCCGCATCGCCATCATCGTCACCATCATGACCACTATGATCATGTTTATCCGGCTCAACAAGAAAATGATCAGAGAAATCCAGCGGCTTCGAGTCCATGATCTTAATTGAAATGGCATTGTTGTTTGCACGCGAACTTACAGCACGGAAGTTCGTCGTGTGCAGCCATAAAGACATGAATGGTGATGAGCCGAGCAAACAAAAAAGTATACACAACTCAGATTGACGGTTCTTGACATCGGGCAACCGCATCGGAAGAGAAGTAGATAACCATGCACATCGTGATCTGAAGAATGTGTGCTTCCACGCACCGAGACTACGCATATTTGTGGGGTATCGTCGTCACGCATGCAATGCTGATAGTTGGGCTGTTTTGCTGTGATCATGACAGGATGTTTGTTTGATAAGGCTTGCAGGCGGGAAACATGCAAAAGCACGTGGGTTTGATTGGATTTGCCATGGTTTGCCACACTTAAGTGTGCACCTGCGCCAGTATGGATGCCGGAACCACGGTCAACTGTTTTCACGGAGAAATGCATGATAAACGGAACATGCGACCCTACAAGCCACCTCAGAACCTCCAGCGGAATGCCTCAACTGAGATGCCTCAGTCATCCCTTGGATTGGAAGGCTCGGGCGGGCAAGATCTCTCCGGCAGCAGACCAGCCGTGTGCTAGAAAGTCGTCCTTGGCTCGGCATTGTCAGATCCACTCGCCATACTATAAAGTGCAAATTTCCGTCCATTTACGATCTGCACTTTAGCAAGCCGTGGGAGCCGTTGGGTTTAACTCTTCAGATCTGTGCCGTAGGGCTGTGGCTAGGGCAGCGGCACCTGCATGCATGGCTCACATGCCTCTACAGCACGTGACAGTGCGCCGTCAAAACAATGCCGGACTGGTGTTTTGAGGGCATGACCAGCAAGTCTTTGACCGGCCCAGCTGCACCTGTGAGCTTCCGCAAACCATCGCCTAACTTCGACCATATGCCGACCCTATTTTGTTGCATCTTGCGGGCTTGCGTCATGGCGTCTGTGGCAGCACCTCCGCTGCTGCCTCGGCCAGCGATTTTAAGTGCCCTCAGCCTCAGGACAATTGCCGCTGTACTTGCTGTGTTGCATGCCACGACCTCGCCGAATGTCTTTGTGCATGCAGATATGAAGCTGCGCATTGCAGTCAGTTTGTGGGAGGTAGCGCTGCATCCTTCGTGTTGACAAGTGGCTTAGGTTGGCCCCGCGTTTGAACGTCGCAGGGCAGCGGCGCTTTCTGAGCTTTTTGGCACGGTACAGGACGGCGCACAAAGTGCAAGACTTTGTGTGCATGGAGCTGCAGTGATGATGGCGGACCATGCAATTCCAGCAGAAGGCTTACACAGGCCAGTCGTACCCGCAAACGCATGCAGCCAAGGTCTGCGAGATCCAGGCATGGATTTCAGCTTTTCAGCGGCTTACCTGACTCAGCGCAGTTTCTTGCAGCCCAGAGTGTGAGGTTCCAACGATTTCGGCTGGCACTTTGTCTTTGCTCAAACCAAGGTAGAGCGTGTGGATTCAAGACTCAAGAATTTGCAAGCTTCAGGCGAAATATATATGGGCGATACGGGCCTTTGACCATGGAGCTTGACAGTTTCCGTTTGCATAGCACACCGAGGTTTTCAAGGGCAGCAGCATTGATTCGTGGATAGTTTATGTCTCCAGTGACGCTGAAGCTTGCAAAGAACGCACGAGGTTGGCAGAAAGTTATCACCGACCAGACCGAATCAATGACCGGGCTTACGTGGTCTCAACATGCTGGACTTCAAACTTCAAACCCTAGCCACAGCAGTTATCGGTGTAGCGGGAAGAAGACGGTGCATCGGGATTCCCTCCTTGAGATGGCGGGAAACTGCTCTTGAAGAGCAAGTGAGGGTTTCAAAAGCACAGGAAGAGCTGCCGGAATCAGGGTTCAACCAACGGGTTTCCAACACTGTGGTTTTCCAGCGGTCAAGCCTTTAGGTCCCTGACACCCACTGTACAAAACCCAGGCCCTTGGCCTTGTAAGATATTGGTCAACACGAAGATGCTCAGGTGGTTACTTGCTCAGCCATATGCTTTGGCGCCGATGGCGACGTCAAGAGTCGAGGCTCCTTCGCACGCGGTGTGATGCTGTGTTGGCGGTGACTGTCGGCGATGCAGTTGTTCAAGCACAGGGCCCCATGTTGACACAAATCGAAGGGATGGTAGGCAGAACAGGATTGACTTAATCAGTCGACTGCCTGATACGCAGTCGTTCAGGCTGTGAGGCCTAGTCACAGCAGTTCCGCAAGCATAGTTTTTGAGCACTCCGTGTCTTACTTGGCATTGGGGTTGTGGTTTGTGAGTGTTTGCGATCCTGCGACATTCTCTTTTCGCGTTGCTTCGTGTGTTTGTGATTTAGGGGTGATTTGTGTTTGTTTCGCGAGCTGTCGCCTGCGTGTTGTTCTCATGACCCTTTTTTCTTTGCTTTGCTGTACATTCACAAAATGCCACAAGCCGCATTGAAAAAGAACAAACGGAGAGAAACCCACCACCACGACGATTATGCTTGCACTGTGCAGCAGTGTTTTCTGCAGGGGCCCCCACATGCTCGTTCGCTTTGAAGCAAGGATCCCTGAGGGCATCTGTGGGGCTTGATCAAGGCTTGGAGCGGGCTTGCCTTACCACTTGACCTCGTCCGCCCTGCATCCACTTCATGCAAGGTTGCCTCCCGGCTTCGAAAAGAAACGTCAATCTGCAAGCACTTACAAGTAAGTCTAAGCTCCGCTTCCTGCGGTGTGCACCCTGGGCCAGGCCTGCCGTTTGCGTGGCCGCGTCCAAGCTCTCCATCCTTGAGGCCACTTAGGGAGGAAACAGTAAACAGGAGGAACCTCTGCCGTTCAATCAGAAGGAATCTCTTCGAAATGCGGTGGCATTGTACAGGCTGGCAGTCGCTTGCAGCAAAGCGCTCGGGAACTTATCAAGCCACGTGGCTGCAACCGTCGCAACCTGATGGACGGCAAGACGCTGTGAGTGTCACATAAACAGTCCACGAGCTTCTGCATGTGTCCCACGTGGCGAAAACGGCCACATGTGGCACATTCAGGAAAAACGGCCAGGGCATTGTTTTCAGCACCTTGTCTGCAGCAAGTGCGGTCAGGCCTGCTTGCAAGCCAGGCCATACGTTGTAGCCGCTTCTAGTATTTTGTTCCCCAGACAGCGCAGCAACACTCAAGTTAAACGGAATTCGGATACTCGGGCCCGGAAGCGCGCACGGGGATGGCAGTCGTGAACCCCGCAGTGGCCCGCGGCCATATTCGCCTCATCCAGTCCTGCTCACAGACCTCTGGCAGTGAGCTGGCCGTGGTGTGTTTGCTCCCGTCGTTTTCCCTCAGAATGCTCGAAGTCCCTATGAGGTCCTACTGTAGCAGGGCCAGGCCACGCATTAATTCTGGTCCCCTCGGCGTAGAGTCTTCACCCGCCGCCACAGTGTTTTCGCCATTTGTGCTGGCATATTGTTAAAAGTTAGGTTTGGTGTCTCGACACACGCTGCCGCAGCGAGGTTATCCACTTTGCTTTGGACTCAATGCTTGCATTTGTCTCGTCCTTGGCGGAACCTCATATGCCACTGGGAAGAGACTTCAGCGATTTGCTGAGCCCGAGCTTGGGCCTCGCTGGTAAGCGCCACTGAGGTCTGGACTCGAAGGTGCAGGCCACTAGTTCTGTGCCCCTTCCATGTGGACTCGAAGCTGCGGCTTGATGGAGTTGATGAGAGCCGAGAAGCTCTGGGATCAACCACACAACTTCAACTTTCGGTGCAAGCTTCAACTCATGCGGACTTGTGGCAGCAGCGTCGCACGAAGACTCTGGCTCTTTCTGATAGGAACTTTTCGATCTGATCCAGCGAGCCATAGCATCTCATCTCAGGTTCGGCTACTTCACGGCCATCTATTTAAGCTATGGCACATTGTGCTATCCCTTGCCACGTGTCTGAAAGTATTGCTCGTCCTGTCACATCTCGCTTTCCCGCACGTTTCTGTCGCCCCTCCCGGTCCCGCCGTCGCCTGCAGAACCGGTTGGTCGTTAGGCAGCTGGGAGCAGCTGTGGCGCTGGCCCCGAAGTTCAGCCGCAGCTTCCGGGCGCTGAAATCACGCATGGGGCTCCCAGGCAAAAGATATTGAAATCAAGGATCACATCAGCTCTTGCGGAGCGGCTAGCAGACGCCCCCTAAACAGAGCATGTGCTTGGATTTTATGTTTGGGACAGGGCCACAGAAAACAATACACCACGTCTCTGCTCGCATCTTTGCGTCCCCACCACCTCGGCCCCGCCCAAGAAGCATGAATGTTAGTAGATTGCCATGGCAGTAGCCAGAGCTTCGTTTTGAAGCGCCACTGGATTTTGTACGTAGCTTGGCCATTCGATTGAAACTCTTGTGCCGCGTCATGTAGATGCTACTTGACTTGGCAGAGTGCATACGTATGACTGAGTACTTCAAGTGAATATCCAAGGCTCAACTGGTTCATGGCAGGTGCTTGGCTGCTGGCTCTCATTGCAGCGAGCCCCTCCCAAGCAGCCAACTCCGTGTTGCTGTATTGTTGGCAAAGTCCTGCACAGAGGACCCAGGCACTTACAGAGGTAGGGACTCAAGGGCCTCGCGTCCACTCCATCTCCGCAAAGCCTGCCAGATGTTCTCGATATTTCTGAGGTTTGGCTGCAGTGATGGCTGGAATCGTTTTTGCATTGGCGCTGTGGCCAGGTTTCCCTAGCTACAGGGCTTGATGCATGACGGAAGATTCCCCGTAGTTGCTAGTACTTCTAGTAGTTGCGGGTGGCAGATGAATTCGGTCAAGCTTGACAGCTATATAGCCGATATAGCCTTTGGGGTACGGCCCGGAGGCATAAACCACGCCAGCCGTCGGGTGCCGAAAGTCCAACGGTTATCTGGCCCCGTGAGTTTGGAAGGGCCCATTGATGTGACGGCTTGTCGCAGCTATGGCGATAACAGGCTTTGCCAGCAAAACAGTTGCTGCCTGTGAAGCACTGAGACTCGAAGGGTCTTTGCGGCTGATCGACCCTCGTAGCTGCGAGCAAAGCGACGTGATGTGACAACCCTCTTGGTTACTTGGAATCTGCAATATGCAAGCCCATGGTGCGAGATTGGGTTCGGGTTTAGGCTGCATGTTCTTGCTGCACAAGACCGGCGGGTGGCTCCATGATGTGATGCAATGTGTGCTTCAGTGGATATCTTGACTGTCAAGGTGGCCGACGCCCTCCTGGACCTCGCCACGGATGGTGGCTTCTGCCTGCATGTTGATGCGACATTTGAGATTCCGCGGTTGCATGTCAATTTGTCGGTTCATTCAGGCCGCGGACCATCGGTGGCGGTCGCCTGCCAGAGATCAAAGGCGCTTCAGGGTCCACGCCGGCATTTGCTGATTAGAATGGCTGCTGCTTGCTTGTATTGTTTCCTGTGGGAGACAATCAACGTCGCAAGGCTGCATCAGCGACACAGAGAAGCAAAAGGCATCCGCTCCCACTCCCATCTAGAATCTAGTCCAGAGCCCAAGGGCTGCTTGGGACCTGTGTCGGTCTGTATGCCAGGTGAAGGAACTGCCCAAGAGCTGGGAACCTACATGCTTGGTTTGACGGATATGATTACTGATTACTGTTAAATGCCGTCCGTGGACTGTCCCACAGCAGCTGCGGGGCTTTGTTGCAAATTGGGCCGTCCCTTCTGTCCAAAGGCTCTGGGAGGCCCAAGAAGCACTCTGGGCCTCAGGAGCCTGCTGGTACTGAAGCGTCTGCAGATGCAGAGCCATGTGATGGATGCCCACTGCGTAATCGGAACTCATGGACTACTCCAAAATAAGTCTGGATTTCAATTTCAATTATGTTTTGAAACCGATTCTAATACTTCATTGCGGGTTTTAGGGATTAGCTTCGAGAAACAATTAAAATCGGTGTTAATACCTTCTCAATTTTTCTCTTGCCAATGACTTGAAATCAATTTTAATACCCTGGTCCAGAGGTTCTGAGTTCGGAAACACTTGGAATCGATTTTAATTGATCTGGCTATTGGGACCCCTGCGCAGGGTATTAAAATCGATTTTAATTGGTCCGCCTCGTGACAACACTTGGAATCGATTTTAATTGATTTGGCTATTGGGACCCCTGCACAGGGTATTAAAATCGATTTTAATTGGTCCGCCTCGTGACAACACTTGGAATCGATTTTAATTGATTTGGCTATTGTGACCCCTGCACAGGGTATTAAAATCGATTTTAATTGATATGGACACATTTGTACACCTGGATGACAGGACTTGGGACCGTTTAAAGCATTAAGGGGGCGATAGCAACCCTACGGTTTCGTGATCTAGGCTTTCGTACCCAGGTGCTATACTTAGAGGTTCATGGGACTTAGTAACTATGGTTCTAAATAAGGTAACTAGACTTAAAATTGGTTGTAACCCCAGTTAAGGTACTTATAACTGTACTTACTAAGTCCCATGAACCCCCAAGTAAATCTTCAGGGCTTGGGGATTTGGGGTTTTGAGGGTTTACCTGTAGCCCCAATGTAACCCGAAACCCTAAACCCTCGAGAGGGAAAAAACCCTTAACCCTTGACCCTTAGCCTTTAACCCTTAACCCTTAACCCTAAACCCTAAACCCTAAATTCTAAGCCTAAACCCCAACCCCTAAACCCCAACCCCTAAACCCTAAACCCGAGTAGGTTCAGGGTTTGTGAAGGTAGTTCCTTCAGAACTCAATTCGGGGCCTCGAAAAGGCCCAAGAAACCCTGCAAGAATGGTCAGATCTTTGGCAAATCTGCAGTCTTCTGGCTTGGCAGTTTTGTGTTTTGAACACAAACCCTAAACCCTAAACTGTCTACCGTCAGAGTGCTGCAAACCCGAAAGACCTGAACCCAAAGCCGTGAACCTGAAACCCAAGGACCGAGCTCCGTGGACCTCACCCCTAGACCTTAAGCCCTCGACGCTCTACAGTACCCTCATGAGTCCTGCAAAGCCGAAAGACCCCAAAGCCCTAAGACCCCAAAGCCCTGCGCCCTAAACCCAACAAGGAGCCCTGTGAAGCCCGACAACCTGAAACCGACACCCACCCTTACCCCCACAGACCTCAACCCTAAACCTTAAACCCTAGACCGTCTACCCTCAGAGAGCCTCAAAGCCCGTAGACCTGAACCCACAGCTCTGTGAAACCCGAGGACCTCAACCTGAACTCTTCCCGAAACCCTGACCCGCTCTGGAAACCGTCCTCCAAGCAAAAAGTATTAAAATCGATTTTAATACCTACCGGGCGGAGTGGCCGTCCATATGCATTAAAATCGATTTAAATACACCCGTGTGCCTGGTCAGGTCACCCTGGAAGGTATTAAAATCGATGTTAATTGATGTCCCTGGCCGACACGGCCCGCCCTCCGGGCGGATATTAAACTCGATTTTAATTGACAATTAAAATCGAAATCCAGTGCCATCCGACTACTCCATGCATGTCTATGATTAGTGGTGAACAATGACAATATGACTTTGCATTGCGAGACACCTGATGATGGCAGAGAGAATGACAACATGACATAATATCAGTGGGTGCAGATTTTGGATGACGCCTGGGGACCTGGGGAGCTTGACGTTACATGAGGTAGGCTCTGCGTGGTGTGGATGGACCTCATGCTCGATTGACCCATTGTGCTAGATGCAGGACGTGTCGCTGGAAGCGGCCTGTGCCTTCTGGAATATCGCGACTCCAGCCGAGGCCCAATTAATTGGTTTGGCTGAATGGGCTCTGCCACAGCAGCATGGCATTATTCACCACGTTACTGTACGACTTCAACAGAGACGCTGTTCCCTCCAAATGAGCTCTGCTCCTGGTGCCACACACTTCGGAATCCTATGAATTCATCCCGAGATTCTCAGACATTGCAGGTCCGGTCCGGAGACCACAGCACGGATGGTAAACGTGTTAGCTGCTACTATGCAACCACATCTTGCTGGCCAGGAACGTCGTGCACAGCAGGCACGCCGCGAGTTTATGAGCTTCTTTGCACAGATGCGTCATGTTCAGCGCAGCCCACTATCGAACGGTGAAAAGATACCCTAAAAATAAAACGTTGTCATGCCTGAATTTCAGTCAACTTTTTCCTTGATGATCCCGGCCTGCATTCATGAGCAATCGGGCATCTTAATTTAGTCATGTAGGCGGATTCAAAACGTCAACATGCGTTCGTTCACATGCATCTCTGGCAAAGGCTCGACGTAACACCAGTGCTGTCCCCAGCTGATCGCAGGGACGCTGAGAGAACGGTCATTACTCTTTGACTGTTACGTAGCTGTCGATCATCCAAGTGCTTAAGGGTGCCCGTCTGGTTAGACCCTGCCGGCAGAACAAAACAACCCAGACTTTCACGGATGCGTGAGCTGCCTCAATCGGAGGAGCCATTTCGCATTGAGAGGGGCTTGTTTTCAAGACTGAGTCTGAACACGGGGGGGCACCAACATCGCGGCTCCTGCCCTTCGCTGGCTTAAAGCGCAATGCAGCGGCAACCGAGGCAAGGACAGCTCAAAAGGAGCTTTCGCCTCAGGAGCATGTGCCTGTGTCTTTTTTCTGCACGGAAGCCTGCATGTCCCGAGGCTAAGTACTCCGGCGAAGATGCTGTCAGCCGCGTGTTGAATGCGGGTCCTGGAGCTCCTGAGCCTTTCGCCAGAAAGTGGACGGGCTGGTCACGGTTTTTTGTTGGATGGGTAGCTTTGGTCAGTTTGCCTTCCAAGCGTGCACCCCGCGGTTGTTCACTGATCTCAGGCTGGCTCGAGCCGTTGGCTTGCCCGTACAGGTTGCCAAGGAGGCGTGGTGTGTGTGGTAGCTTCCAGCGACATGACATGGGCATGAGATGCGCTAATGTGTGACGACCCGCGTATCTTCAGCTTGCGAAGCGCCGGCCTTCTAGGGTCATAGCCGGGGCTTCGAGTGGGTTAGCCCCGGCAGGCGGCGAGTTTGTTCCGCCGCTTTGGCAACATCCCCTCCAAGGGACTCTTGGCAGGGAGTCGTCACTCACTTGTGGGTGTGCTTTTCATGCCAGGCCAGCGCCAGATGCTAACGGTGAATCGCCTGTAACGGATCTGAGGCAGCCTCTTTCAAGGAAAGCTGCAAATGTCACGACTTCCAGAGGCCCCCCTGCTCAGTCCAGAGATCAGCGACAGATTCACATGCCGCCTTACTGCCACAGCTGCTTCTCGCAAATCCCGCCCTTCGACATGTTGATACAGATGACACTGCATAGAATCCTGAGAATCGGGAAAGTGCTGGACGCTTGTCACCAACTCTCCAGAAGCATTGCAGGTCCTGGTGGCGCTCTGCAACCTGGCTCGGTTTCGCCGTCTGAAACTATTCCGAGCGAATTTGGTCCTGGTGTCAGTGCTGTCACAGAGAGGAAGTGGCTGCTTAATGTCAGTTGTTTCGCGAACTCACAGGGAGCAGCAGGTCAGTTTCAAGGACCTCGCTCCTTGAGCTTGCCTGGCCTGTGTCAGCTCTTGGCTCTGGGCTGTGCTTCCGTGTAAGGCGACGTGACAGAGATCTCCGAGATTTCCAAGGCTTGTCAAACCCTTTTCCTGCAAGGAGCCTGCGAAATCTGCATTGCTCTGAAGGGAGGGAGAGGAGAGTCGGAGGGAGAGGGAGTCAGGGAGAACTTGGGACTCTTCTCTGGCTGTTTGCTTTTTGTCTCCCTCTTCACCCCACGCGGAAGAGGCATTTGTGGACTGGGCCTTGAAAGCGGCAGACAGAGACTCGAGCGACTTCGGCGGCTATAGTTAGACAATGGTAGACATCTTGTACCTTGGCCCGGTAGCGGCCTTTAATTAGTTTGGCCAAGGCTTGTCATGCAGGAGGTTCCGGTCTGTCAAAACAGCCTTTCTCTGTGAAGTTCAACTCTGCTGAGTCCGCTACGAGTTTACCAGTAAGTCTCTGCTGCAGTACCTCGCAGCGGCGGCTGCAGGCCTCAGGGCCTCAGGTTCAAACACGGAACTTTGCCGCCACCAAGGTAGCTCAATGGACGTCCAGGAGTTCGCGATCTGGTACTCGTCCTTCTGCTTTGCAGAAGAGGTCGTGTCCTCAGGCCGAGGTTGATACGTAGCGGCGTAGCGATTTCACGCTCGTCCCAGTGACTAGGTAGGGCCTGTGCAAATCCCTTCTTTGGTGGATCTCTCAGGTCACAGTCAAACCGGAGGTGCGGGAGACTCGCGAGCTGGCACGACAGATGGGCTTGGAGATTGGTAGCTTGGCAGGAACTTGGGCTGTGATTCCTTGAGTCTTTGCACTACCAGTATGCCCTGATGATCGGTTATGGGCAGCATGCTTTGCCAACTCTGAGGTCAGATAGAGCAGTTCAAGCTCCTTGGAAGCAGAAAGCGCCTGCAGCTGCAGCCGCACTGCCATCAAGTAATCCCAGTCCAAGTTCGGCTTCTCTCCTTGGCTTTGCCAGCTGCTAGCTCTTAGCTCCCTTTCTCGTGGCTCTCTTGGCTTAGCTCGGCTGAGCTCAGGGTGGCCTTCGACAGGCACCGGCCTCGGGAACGAGCACGGGGGCAGCGAACGCAGTCCGTTCGTCCATTCGTTGCTTTGGCATTCGAATTTTCGAATGATTTCTCCAAAGACCAGCGCGCATGGGTTGTGTGGCGGTAGCCAGGGGTGGGAAAGTGCAGGTTGAGGAAACTTAACGAGCTTGTTGAGCGGATGTTGGCCGGGCATCACATGCTGCCGCCAAAGTTCAATCTAAAGACCTCATAATAATGCCAGACAGGCCACAGTGCTTCTTCTACGGCGCCAGAACTCAGATTGTGAAGTACACTCGACCTGAAAGGTACGACGAGGATGGAAGCGGGGAGATCGAGTTTGAGGAGTTCTCCAATATGGTACAAGAATTGCTCAAGGCCGTGCTTCCCAAGGATTGTTCATAAATAGTTGTTACGGTGAAAAGACATCATGACAGCCTGCGCCATGAGTGGAAAGGTACTCGATAGCCAGGGAAGTAAAGTTGCTGTGGCCCTCCAGAGAAAAGCTACTGAAAGCATGCATGAAGCGAAGGACGTTTGCCTAGTTGCTAGGTCTTGTGCAGGAGTAGCTGCCTGTTTGATCACCAGTGCTTGAAGTATATTGGAAATACAAGCCTTCGCCACCGTGTCGTTTGTTTGCCGGTGTCGGACTTGTAGCAACAGTTGCGGATGTCAAGCGGCTGAGCTTGGCAGAGCTCGCCGTGCAAACCCCTCTCCAAGTTGGTGCTTCTCTCTCGGCCCCCCTCCCTCCCTCTGTCCCTCGCTCTCTCTCTCTCTCTCTCTCTCTCTCTCTCTCTCTCTCTCCACAACTGGTCGCAGATACCTCATGGGCAAGAGTTGCCTCATGACCGCTTGATGACGATGTGGCGCTCGGCCGACCCTCATTTGCAAGTGGCCACGCTGTGATTCGGGAGTCTCAGTCGTAGAGGCTGGAGGCGCGACTATGGCAGCCCCTTGAAACCTGCCGTGTTTCCTGCTACCTAAAGCAGCGCGACCACGACTACGACGACAACTGCTACGATTCCTGCACTTACAGGAACAAGAACACACACAAGCACAAGTGCTAGAACAACGCGCGGAAGCCGCGTAAACGCTCTCACGGCCCATGCACGACAACCGTTTACGTGGCGGCAAGAGCGCCGCTCTCAAAAGAACACTTGCCGAGCGTACCACCCTGTGGCAGGCGACAAGCCGTACACGCTGGGGCCCACCACAAGCAACCAGACTGTAGCAATGGGATGCGGGTTTTTGCGCGATTACGCGGCATCCGAGCCGAGAACAAGAACAGCAAAAGCAATGACTATACAGCTACTTCAACTACTACTCCTGCTGCTACTGCGGCTGCTGCTGGAGTAGTAGCTGTTGTTGCTGTTGATGATGATGTTGTTGTTGTTGTGGTGGTGGTGGTTGGTTGTTGGTTGTGTTTGCTGGGTGCTGGGTGCTGCTGGGTGCTGGTGCTTGCGCTGGTCGTCTTTGATGGTGTCGGTGTTGTTTATGTTGTTGTGGTCACGAAAATCAAAGAAAGTACCAGTAGTAGCAGAAGTGCATTCATGCATTGTAGTGTGGCAATGCTGAGCATTCGGAGTGGTGCTAACCGGATTTTGAGCCGTCTCTAACTGCCATGACCGAACTCGAATTTCGAAACCGGAAGCATGCTTTTTGAGTGATTGTGGATGATTGTCCCTTCGCCCTAGGAGCACCTCTAGTTTGGAAACTTGTTTTGTTGGTTGAAGTGGTGGGATTCTGGGCTTGCTTCAAGCTTCTTTGCGGATCGGGAGGAGGATGTTCTGCATGTGGGGAGGGGGTGTTTCGGACTGTTTTGCTGCGGTCCAACAGTTAAAGATTAGCACCAGCTTTAATCTGTGAGTCGAGACTGTGTCTTGCGCAGCCCCCTGCAATCCAATGCAATCCAGCCCAGGACATGCAACAGAAGGGTTGTCTGGACTTTCGGGAATTTTGCGCGGCTCGTCTGCAGCACGTAGTTAGCGTTGCAATGTTGCAGATGGCCGTGGCAAATGTGCAGTTTCGTTCGAGTGACCTGAACCGGTATTGTGGGTGACTCTCTCTGTTTGCTAAGTTCTTCTACTTCCGGATGGGTGCCACAGGGCAGGGCAGCGATCCGATTGCGGACTACTACCGCAATGTTTCCGCCTCAGACGGGTCATTGATGTCGCTAGGGCCTGGTAGGATTGACTGGCGAGGCGGCAACGCTTGACAGCTGCAAAGAATGGGGGAGCCCAAGCCAAGACAACTGAAGCATTCTGTCAGTTGTCAGTTGCGGTCAAGGTGCGCCATGTGCCTGTGGCTCCTTGAGCTTCAGCGATGCGGCGAGCCACCATCAAGGGGATCCCTCCGTCCTCTTCATGGCATTCCATTGTATGTCTTGTGTTGCTGTTGCCGCTACACCAAAGTTTCTAAGTGGCATCCAGCAGGCCGGTGCCTAGCGCATCCAAAGAAGGCCTGAACAAAGCCGCGATGCACGCTTCGCCGAGGGCACAATAATGGTTGCCACACCAGTCGGTGTTAGTCTGACGTAATCATAGTCTTTGCCTGCTTGGAGTCACTGTATATATGGTACACTGATGGGATCACGGCTGGTGTGGCCAGTGTGGTGTAGGCTTTCGTCCTAGCAGCAACATCATCGCTGCAGGCTTGCAACCCGTGATAAATGCTGGCTAATTGTCACACCGACACATCGCCACACAACCGCATCCCCATACCTGCACCCACATCTGCACCCACACCCGCACACATGCGCACACATACACACAATACACGTGCACATGCACGCGCGCATGCAATTTTTTGTTAGATGAACGATTCAGATGTGCTGCAGCCCCCTGCTTTTTTCCATGGAAACCTTCGCTTGAATACAAACGTACCCTTATTGACAGGATGTGACGCACAGGAAGCCGTGGTTCGCCAGCTTCTTACGGCGAAGTTTGCGAACCACAGCTTCGTTCGATGCAGTTTCGCGGGTGCACCATGACGATTCCGCTTCGGAGCCCGGGGCGCTCTGCCAGTCTGAAGTCCACGTGGAGGCGATGACGTTTTTCGGAGCCTCTTGTGAAGCCGGGAGAGATGGCGCCTTAGGCATGGCCCCTGGTCGTGTAGAGGTCGCAAACTCACGCACTTACTCATTCACTTCAGCACGCTCTGAAGTGCTCTGACAAATCGTGTTCGTTAGATGCCCACTCTTCAAAACCCCCCCTGCTTTTTCGACGGCGCAAACAGACGAAATGTAGCCTTAGTGACAGGGTGACACACACACACATATACACGCAAAAGTGCACACCCACACACCAGCACAGATGCACGCGTAGGCAAGCTGATCCAAAGTCCTGCTGCGACTATGCATGGATTTTCACCTGAGGAAGGCTGGCCTTTTAAAGGCAGCTTGTGGTGAATTGCATCACCGTTTCAACTCTCCAGCCGCCTGCTGTTGCCATTGGCCGCCCATGGTTCTGTTAGCGCAGCTTTGGGAGCGGGCTTTGCTTGGCGCCAAGGGTCTGCAGACCGGTTTACAGATTGAACCATGTCGTGCTGCATATCTGCAAAAGCAGATGGCACGATGACGGGCTCTTGTTCGCTGCGCTTCTGTCCAGTGGTGCAGTCAAAACGAAACAATCGCCTGGCTCAGCGACCATCGAGACATGCACAAGCCCCGGCCACCCCACTTCAGACCACTCGATTGAAGGAGCTACAAAATCACTTACGTACTGTAAAAGCCAATGTGTACAGGACACCCTGTGCCCGTCACTTGCTTTGCGATTTGGGAAGCCACGACATGCTAACAGAACACTGCCTACATGGTCAAGCCAGGCAAACCAGCATAAACCAGTGATGCAGAGACAGTTGAAGCCTGAAGCCGAAAGCAATCTCCATTTCTTGTATACGTGATTGCCAGGCCACCGCGAAAGAGGACGAAGAAGCGGCGAGCGCTTTCCGCTCCTTCGGCACCTTGTCTTCAAGTGTTGAAATCTCAGTGAGCAGCAGAGTTATGGAGCTTTGCATTTTGCAGCCCTTGCTCCCACTCAGGGGCAGTGCTTCCAGTCGGTAGGTGGCTTTCTGGAAATTACATTACATCCTTGGTCAACCTAGGTCCCGTGCTTCGATGGCTGTGTGCATTATTCTCAGTGGTTCCATGACAGCTGTCGAGGCAATGTTTCAGGGAATTTCAGGGTGTCAGTTCCGGACTCAGGAAGGGCTATCAGGCTCTCAAGCTTTCAAGTTGATGACAACTCCACATCCGCTGTCTTGCTGGCTTAGATACGCTTTGAGTCCACCTGCTGCGAGTCGGGTAATTTATTGTCCATGCTCGGCTTTTTCGCTGGAGTCATGCTCTACAAGCCAAGACGAAACGTCATCCTCCGTTCAGATGCAGCTGGGCCTGATGCTGAGGTTCTTATCTTACGGCTTCTGGAGACTGCACTGTCTGAGCCCCAGATTGTAATGCCAAGCGAGAAAGACTAAGTGCGGATGCAAAACGCAGGCTGCTGCAGCTTGTGACAGCTGGTGCTTTTGCATCTTTGCATAGAGATGCAGAGATGGGGCCGTTTGTCACTGCCAGGCCTATTCAGCTCTACCACGTCGAAGGTATCGCGGCCGGGACCCAGCTCGGGCCTCGCTGAGGCAGCCAGCTGATGCATTTGGTTCCTCGATTCTACTCACCAATGTAGCTGGACTCGTCTGAATTGCTCCAACGGTGCTAATTTCATGAACTGCCTGCCTGGCGAGCCTTGGACAGTATTGCGGAGGAGCATGTGCGTAGAAAGCATCCTTCAGCCCTTTTCATACACTTGGAAGCTTCAAGTCTATTGCAGCATGCGTGACGCACTCCGACCCTCTTCATGAAAGGTTTTGTCAGCTGGGCTGTCCTGATTCGTTCACAGACCGTTCGCCAAGGTTCCTTCTATTTTTCAGCGGCTCGGTGATCGGCTGAGTGTGAAGCCAGCTGCGTGCAAGTGTTTAGGGGCACCCGCTTGTTGCCAGTGCTTTGAGAACTGCTTAGAGTTTTTTCAGGCAAGCCATGTCGTAGTCCGTGAATCAGTCCCCTTTTTAAGCCTTCCGGAAACATCAACTACGGCGACGCAAGGTTGGGCCAATCCCCTTCGAGCGGAAACTGGGCTAACAGAAAGCGAGAATTGAATTGGTTTCGCTGGCGGCCATCATGACATGTGTGCCTGTAGCTTCATTGATCTGCTTTATGTAGTGGTTGTTGGTGCTCGGACAACAAGCTGAGTGTGTTTGCTGAGGATTCATCTTCCCACATTTCTGCTGCCGCGGCTGCATGCCCCTTGACATTCATTTACAAGCTACAGACACTGTGTCGACCAACAATGTGCAAGAGCTGTGGAAAGGGGCGCAGATCAATGCCAAAGCAACGGTCCATTTCAACGATGATGCAGATCATGTGAAGCACACGACGAATCACTCGTTGTGTGAGGCTGTATGGCCCCCAGCTCCAAACTTGCGGCTCAAGCTGTCCTCGGACTGAGACTGCATCAAGCATTGCCCTTGCTCGGCGGTGCAAGTATGGAGCGGTTCATCCGATACCTGGAGGTGAACTTCGCTATCCTATGCTGCTTCTTTTCGGGAATCCAGACCTTGGGCAAGCTGCCGCATGAGCTGTGGAGCAGCACCGAGTCCGGTGTGGTGGTCGTTTCGAAGAAGCTGAGAGAGGAGTATAGTGAGAAGGTCGAGGCGGTTGCACAAGCCATCCGACAGAGAGGGCCTCCTCCGAAGGGTGGGCTCTCTACTCATTCATTGCTGGTGATGCATCGCTTGCTGTGGATTGGCACAGCATTGGCCAGCAGCGACATGAGGCTTTTCATTGCTGTAGGTTTGCTGCAATTCGTTGCTGCGCCATATTCCCTGGTCTGCTCATTCATGCTCTTTCTGATGCACTTCTGCACCATGTGCCTTGGGCACCTGGCATCTGGGTTGGCTCTGAGCGTCATCCCACTGCCCCACTGCTTCAGCGTGGAGATCGGTGGCACATTGATCGGTATTGTACTCTTGCTCGACTTCGCGGCGACAGCATACTATGCCTTTTGGGCCTGTTCCGATGGCCTGCCGAGGAAGCTACCCTTGCGAGAGACACTCTACCACATGATCTACGGCACCTTCCAGGCCAAAGCATACATCTTGCTTGTTCTCGTCATGTGCCGTGGTCAACGGCTAAACCTCGCCTGGCTGGCATTGGATGCCGTGGCGGGCATCTCACCACTGATCAACAACTTTATGCAGCGCACGGTACTGTCTTGGGAGAGTCTCTTTTATCACATTCATCGGATGGAACACCTTCCGGGTGTGTACGAGCATGCGCACCGCTTGCACCACTACCTTCCAGATGGGACCGCCTGGGATGCCCATGTCCACAGCGGCGCCGGCTTCCCAGAAGAGTGGTTCTACCTGATGCACGACATTTTCCTGGTGCGAGTTCTGGGGCTCCCTCCGCCCTTCATGACTTACCGGCTCCTGAAGTACCAGCTGGGAAACAAAGACGGCCACCAGCGCCGTGTGGAGCCTTACCAGGTAGAGCAGTACCATCAGGATCATCACCTCTTCCATCGGAAAAACTTTGGTTTCAACAGGCCTTGCTTGGACATGATCTTCGATACATACAAGCCCACAACGAAGAAGCACTTACAGGTTAACGGAGCGATCTACTTAAAGGAGGAGACGTCCGAGAACATCATGATTCACATCAAGGTAGTCGACCGCAAGCTTCTTTTCCAAAGTTCACAGAGACCGGCAGCGTGGCAGAAGCCGCTTCGAGAGCTCATGAACTTCCTCTGGCACTTTCATTGAGGCCGCTTCCCCCGTCTTCGCTGCATTCAAATCCCCCTAGTTAAACTACACGGCCCAGTACGGGCCGAGAATGCCGGCATGTAAAGTCACATGCGACCTCGCCAGCTTTGTGAGAAATGCCTCGGCTGCCGCGTGTACAGACGGCTTTTCCTGCTCAAGCCTACAGTTGTACAGAGCTTTGATGGCACGCACCTCCGAAAGCTACAGACGCCATGCCAGTTCCGCAAACCTGGTTGTTGGTTGTGAGATCCTAAATTCCGGCGAAAAAGGAAGGCCGGTAGATTCACGAGCCATATCTGCCAAGGGCCGAGTGTTGATCTGATTGCAGTGTTTGCGCCCGCAGCCATGATGAGGCACCACTGAGATGTCTCCTGTCTCCGAACCCGCTCGTGGGGCAGACGATGCGGCGGAGCGACTCGGACTCAATTGCCCGGGTGCTTCGACCCACAGATGCAGAGAGTGGTATTTGCGGGCAGAAGGCCTTAGTCAGCATAATCTTGTTGGGGCCTCTCCTTCTCTCTTCTCTTCCTGTCGAATTGGTTGTCGCGCGGAGGCCTCCAGAAACAGAGCCATACCTGCTAACGATAGCTTAGCCAGATACCGTCAGTATGAAGACGGCACCGGCAGCTTCGTGAAATTATCGAGGCGAGTGATTAGATGTCTGTGACATAATTGGCCGCTCCGAAGGATGTGTTGCCGAACTGGAAGAATCAATAGTTACCCGATGTGCTGTTTGTGATTGCGCTTTCAGGACTCATATCATGCATCACGAGTGACAGGTCTTTCCAAAATTACAGTTGTCCGGGATGCAGCTGGCGTCCAATTCGCTGTATTTCGCTGTCACGGTAACTAGCCGTGTGCAAAGGCTCCACTGTTTACATCTGTCTACACCTTTCGAGTATCTTCGCTTTGCACAAGGTGCCGTTCTTCCTGTGGCACATCCTGCGCTTTTGGAGGCTTAGCCTAGGGCCTAGCAGCTTAGCTTGTGGGTGTGTTCTTTCAACTTTCTTCCTCTGCTCTGCACCAGGCCTGGAGCCTGAAAGTTCATGCCGCTGTTTTCCCGGTGGGCTTGGACGTTGTGCTTCGACTGCCGGCACCTAAGCATCCGACGGACAGCTGTCACATGTCGTACAGCATGGTACTGTTCTGAACATACGCTCCGCGCCAGACCATGTCGTTGTACTAAGGCGCGACGGATCTTTCTCAACCTTTCAGTCCATGCTGCCACTGCCTCGTGACCTGCTTCTGGTTTAGATTCAGTAACTTCCAGATAGAGGAGATTGGAATGATGGTCTGGCTCAGGGTGTGCGAATGCAGAGCGGTGTTTGCCATTGATCATTTCGAACGCAATCGACAGATATGAAGGACAGCACCGGATGTCGCATGATGTCGCATGCCTGCCCGATGACCGATGATACTGATTCCACTGAATACTTCGTGAGACTGCTGCTTGTCGTGGTCCAGGGCGCACCGCATGACTTAGCTTGTGTTTGCAGGCATTTTGCCAGGCAACTTGTAGCTGCAGATAGCTGGTAACCAGCTATTCAGGCAGCCATGGCATCAAAAGTGCGGCCGTTTTTTCGAGGCAAGAGCTTCAGCAAGAGCAAAGACCAGAGCTGCTCGGACATTTAGTGTTGTCACATGTGCCCCCATCAATATCTCGAGTGGACATCGACCACCACTCCAGTGGGGACTTGTGTGAAGCCAGTCAGCCGCGTGCGCGCAGAAGTGCACGAGTTTCTGCAAAGCGTAGAACGAAGAACGGCAGATGTTCAAAGACATCACATGCATGGCCTACCAGGAATTGATTTCGACATCCCGCTTCCCCGAGATGATCGGCCATCCCGCGATGGAAGCCTGGTTGGCGACTTGCTGTCGTTCTTGCAGGATGCACATGCGATTGCTGGGCTGCTGCAACTAAGGACGGGGTTTCAGTCCAAGTCCCTCGAGCTCGAAAGATTCCGCAGCAAGACCAACTGAAGTCAGCCCTATGAATGCCTCGAGTCTCATGCGTTCTGTTCAGTCTCGAGAACATTCAAAGGCATCAGCTGTGCTTGAGCAGCCGCTGCTCGAAGAAGGCACTGTTTTCGATCTCTCCAAGATTTCGCAGACGGAAGTCTTCAATTCCGTCACCAGCGACTGCATGTCCCCGGCATCTGGGAGCTTGAGGGACAGTAGCGCTGGGCACATGCATGCATCTCAATCGCATGCCATGGGCGAGAACGCCCCCTCCTCGCCTACTTCGCCGACTTCGAGGGAAGTTGGTTTACATGACCGATCCAAATCAAAATTCAATCAGCAGCCTCTCTGCTGCAAAGCATTGTTGTGGTGTTTTCGCTGTGCCAGCCTGCTCAGTGACAATATCGCAACGTACAACCTGAAGCCATCAGAAGGCAGTGGGTCTCTACGCAGGAAAGCAATTCGCCATCCCTTCCCCAAGCCTTCACGCACGAAGCATCAAAATCAGGAGGGCGTTGCATAAAGTGCACTGCGGGGCTGAATGTCAGGTCGAGTTCGAGTTTTGACGACTCCATCGGTGATGAGCGGCTTGCATTACCCAAGCCAACGAAACCGCAGGCTGGACACTGTGTCGGATGGCCAAAACGCCTTGCTTGGAATTTGGAATGTTGCTGGGCTTGCTCTCGCCACGAAGCCACTCTCTCGTTGCTGGGGCTGCGCACACAAAAACAACGTCAGCAGCGTTCGTTGACACATGCTTGTGCGTTCGCAGGTGCTTGACGTGGAACTTGAACCAGATGATCTCCCTGAGTACCCGTTGATGGAAGACGAGGTACATCCGCATCCCATCGACCTGCTTAGATTCAATTCACGCAGGGCCCGCGTCGATTGGATTCTGTCGGTCTGAGCGAGCTGTAAGCTGCTTTTCTGAAGCTTCTTCCGGCTTCTGCCAGAAATAACCTTAGGCATACGTAGAAATAATTTTTAATTTTTGGCTATTATAACCACTAACAAGCAGGCTAAAATTATAGTTTTTGCTAGGGTTCCAAGTTCAGTATAGTAACTGGGAAACTGGGACACTGGGGGCAGATGCAGTAATCTCATGTAACCCCGTAATCGTTGACCATGTTTGAGGGATGATGTGGTACGAAGTGCAAAGGCATGTATACACGCCGGTGAATGTACCTACGCATATACGGCATACCCGCACGCATGCAGACATACGCACACACACACACACACACAAAAGGGCGGACACACACCTCGTTCGTCAATCCGTGGCTTTTGCCTTGTGCATTTGCATCTGCTTGCAGATTTATGCCGTCGGACGTGCAAGCTGTGATGGAAACCCGCCAGTCTTGGTGACACACGCCACTCACCGACTGAGCTGCCTGCCACAGGGGCCAGCTCACGATACTGGATGTTCCACAACCGTACTTCGTGGCACATGTAGGCCCGTGGATGCCGGGTGTCCAGATGCGGCCCGTTGTCAGTAACCCCCTCGCAAAAGGTTGAACAAGTGAAGTTGTTTGGAATGTGCAGAAAACAACGAATGGACAGGACTTCCTACGTTCATGTTCGAAAGTAGTACACACATCCATTCCTCCACGCATCCACCCCTCCCTTCCTCCCTCGCTCCCTCCCTCCTCCGTCCGTCCATCCGTCTATCCATCCATCCATCCATCCATCCATCCATCCCATACAGCGCGCACACACACAAGTGTATATATATATATATATATATACTTATATGTAAATAGCCCAGAACCTAGGACAGGATGTTAGACCCTTAGACCCTGCCCACAGATTCCAAGCGAGACAACAATGGATAACCAGCAAACTTCAAATCCTGAAAAGGGTGACTAGGTCCATGTGTTCAGATATGAATACGGCATGAACACGACATGTATATGTTGTATGCGTGTACAAAGGAGTGCTTTCTTTGCTTATACATCTTATATGTATACATTTATGGCTAGATATTCACATATGTGCATATAACAGACTATTCATAGACATGTTCATGTCACGGTATGTGTGTGAAACCAGAAGCCGAAGAAGCTGAACTCGACTTCACATAAGCTTAATTATTTAATGATCTAAAATCTGAAACTTGGAAACAGCATTCAACACGCCACTTCCAAGAGACATGGGCCTGCGATGGGTCCTGTACCAAGAAAGTTCAAAACTATGTTGCAAGTCCAAAGCTTCAGGACGACCGTCCGACGTCGCGGCAGCCATCTCGGCAAGGCGCGAGCTGGCATTTGCCGGCAAGTCCCTGCGAACCTGCCTCGCAACCGGGATGTGCAAAGCCGCTTGATCTTTCCCAATCTGTTGCATGTCCTCAATGTAGTGCAAGAGATCGCGCGGATAGGATGCGACATTTTGTGGAAGCTCTGCAGAAGGGTTTTGGGTTGGCATGGGTTGGCATTCTTGTCTGCTGTTCAGGCATCAAGAAGTTCCTCAGACTTGACCTATCGTCGTGCTTCCTTAGTCGAGATTGGGCTGGGAGCACGAATCCCAGCTCTGTCCACAGAAATCCTCTCGACAACAGCTGTACTAGAACTCTGCAGAAGCTCCGCCTGGAAATGTTAGGTTCCCCCCAAACAATCAAAGCTTATCCTGAGAAACTCCGATGCTTGGATCAGGTGGTGCAAGTCCGCGCCCTGGCGACTTGGCCTCTAAGTCACTATGACTGGGATTGTGCTGATGTGCCGGCAGAGACACAGTACCCGCAGGCAGCAGCATGGGCCGGACGACGTCTCGAAGGCGCTGTCCTGTATGACTGTCTCAGGGTACTCTGTGTCATATCCCATAGTCGGCTGACTCTAGAGGTCCAATCCTCCGCTTCCTGCACGGCCGGGAAGCAGTGCATCTCCCAGAAAAAAGACTCATTCCATAAACGACGCGAGGCTGAATTTGGGGCGAGCAGGTTTCGGGGGGTCGGTGCTTGCTCTGAGTGGCACCAGGCATGCTTCGGTCACTCGCTGGGTTCAGTAAACACTGACACAGCTTGTCGGAGGCTGTTGGCACGGCATTACAGGGCAACAGATCAATACTTCCCAGTGCCTCGCCGCCAACTGTTAGTCTGCACGAACGTTCTTTCTGGTTGAAATACCCGAGATGAAGGAGGTGCTGACAAAGGTCGACGAGATATGGAGGGGGCTGGAATCTGTTTTGAATGCAGAAAATTTCTGCGAAGTCGTATCAGCATCGGTTGTTGCTTTCTTCGGCTCCGTGGTTTTGCTTGAATTGGCGCCCTCTTTGTCCTTAGTGGGTTGAGAGATGCTCAAGGCGATCTCCTGGGTCCGGGAAGGGCTTTTTGTCGATCAGGCTGAGGTCTGTAGGGCCTGGCTTGCTCGAGCTATGGCTGGGGTCAGGACAGCCTCAAGATACGGCTATCATGGCCAGCCTCGTTTGCTTCCCCCCGGCTGCTCACAACCCCTACTAAGTCCAGCTCCCGCAGTATATCGAGTCGATGGCTACCTTTTAGGATGACACTCGCAAGACCTTGATAGTCAATGTCGACACAGGGGATGACAGGATCGTGGTGCCTTTTCAGGCGTGGCTGGTGCAGGAGATCGTGGCGAGTTCGTCCAGCTCCATCAACGTTCTCACGGAGCGGGACCACGTCATGCCCCCGAGCTCCGGGTAAAATCTTTCGCTCTTTGCTCTGGATGGTATCAAAGCCAGGCCCGCCATCTCGGTCGACTCAGTCGAGGGATCCCGTGTGGCGATTGGTCTGCTCACGAGGCTTTTCAGCTTTTCTCGTGGCCAGTGCCCAGCACCGATGTAAAGGTGTACAATGGCAATGAGATCCTCTTTCACTGGACGTTCGCCTCTTGAACATGGTCGGCTTGAACTTCTATGACGACACGTACGGCTAACGAACGATGGGACGGCGTCTTCAGCGAAGATCGGGGCCGAGGCTATCCATTTCTGGCTGGCCGGGCTGTTCGACGAGAAGAAGCGCTTTTGGGCGGCTTCAACGATGACATGCTCTTCATGCGAGGGGTGTGGTAGCTACTGGGTTGCTAGATCGGATCTTCTCGCGGTCCGATTCTGTTTGTTGAGCTGCGACGGATTTTCGGTGGTTCGGTCATGGTTGCTTTCTCGGTTTATGCTTCTGCTTTTCGCGCTGCATCTTGCGTGAAACTGCTGGAAGATCCCTGCAAGGAGACAAGGGATTGTCGTGGTTACTTCTGGTCGTGCTGCCGTCACGGCCCATTTTGTGTCGATTTGTTTAGAACCATCTCCGAGGACTTGTTTTCTTGGCACACTGTCTACGGGTTGCCAATGCATCGCATGCAGCACAGCAGCGTGCATGGAAGCGGTCTCTTTTTCAGGTGTCATTGCATGGTAACTTCAATCTGCCTTGAATGACCTCTTCAACAAAGCTAAGGCAAGCCCCGGAAGCCATGGATAAAAGCCAGCGACATGTTTTTTCTAGATGTTCGTGCGTGTATATATCGGTTTCGCCACTCAAGGCTGATGCGAGGACATGCGGACAAGCAGTCAGGGCTTACCACATCCGCTTGCGATGCCGTCGGAAGAACCACGAACATGCTGTCAGTTGTAGGTGGGCCAGAGCTGAGTCCTCCTGCGTTGAATTGAGACTGCCTCACTTCTCAACAAGATCAACTAATCCAATCCAGTATCGCTCTTCTGCAATCTGTACTGAGGACGCAGATGCGGAGGCCCGCGCGCGTCCCGGAAGCAGTGCATCTCCCAAAAAGAAGGTTTCCACCATGAACGAGACTGAGCTGAATTTGGTGCGAATGCCAACTTGAACGGTTTACCGCGTTGGGCCTTGATTGCACAGCAGCAGAACTGGTCTGTGCTGCTTGCAGTAGGAAGTATCATCTGTGCGCACATGAATGTCGAAGCTGCACTAGATGTTCGTTGCGAGGTTGTCCGGGATGTGGTGCTGTTGGTAAATCGATTGTTTGATGCCGAAGGATCTTGAGACAGTGTGCCAGTTTGGGGAGAGGTTCTCGCCAGACTTCGTGTTCTGCTCCGCAGCATCACGAACCTGGCCTAGCCTCCCAGCCTAAAGCATTTTGCTAAGGACGTTGAGTTGGGTTCAATGAACGTGGCATCGGGCCGCGAGCCGGCGGGAACGCCAAGGGCGGCATGGATGAGAATGAGTTCGATCACGGTTTGGCCACATCTTGCAGCTGGTTACGATGTGTTTGCTGTCTCTACTAATACCTCGCTGTGGGTCGTGATTTCTCAGTTCGGCTGTGGAGTTGATGCTTGGCGTTTTGCTGCCTTTTCCTCTGACGGGTCTCTGTGACTTCAAGCCTGAGGAACAGACATGAGGATGTTGATCGCCGATATTGACATAAGTTGATAGCGAACTGCGTTGCATAGGCCACTCGATCTGCAACTGGTGACATTCCCGTTCCAAGGCGCCTTGGTCGTGCATCAGATCTAGGATCTAGACCGAGCACATGTGTCAATTGAACAAAGGCTTGGGCATTGTTCAGTGCCGTGAGAAAGTGCTAAAATCTCGTTAGTTTCTGCTAGTGAAAAAGTTGCAGGACTCCCACAGCCGCATCTTGGCATGCAACAGGATCCTTTCCCTTCAGCTACAATGAGGGAGAGGTGTGGATCCACGCACTCGTGCGGAGGGGGCTCCCTTTCTGACTTACTGACGGCAAGCAAGAGACAGGGATGCGCAGGGCGAGGAAATAGCCTTCACCGTCTGCTGCCGGCGCACTGACCAAATGGTTTGGGAGGCCACGTGTGCAGGCAAGACTTCTGCTTACCTGTTGCAAGTCCTGATTCTTGCAAAGGCAAGTCGATCTGCAACCGATGGCACCCCACTTCAGAGGCTCCTTGTGCGTACTTCGGTCCTGATGTTGTTGGTTCTTAGTGCATGTATCATGCATTTTCATGCAGATGATTGTAACGCAGAGCACATCAGTCATTCCAGTACTGCTTTGGACGCTGGCGTAACAGCATCAGTAGCGTTGAGGAATGTTGTTTAGGGCCAGAGAGCTGACCCCACGTCATGTGCCAACACAGCTGCAGCATTGCATTGCTTTTCCAATAGCTGAAAAGCTGCAGGACTCCCACCGGCGCCTCTTGGAAAGCAACGAGATATTCGTTCAATGCTTTTCTGTACTGCAGCAGCCGAGGCTGGTAAAGCAGAGGGAGTGAGACAGAGAGAGAGAGAGAGAGAGAGAGAGAGAGAGAGAGAGAGAGAGAGAGGGAGAGAACGACCTGGCAAGGCTCCCCACAGCCCAACGGAATGCCTGTGCACGACAGATGGTGAAGCGGGTGCACTGGCCGCCCAGCGGGGGGGAAGCAACACGGGGGTATGACAAAGCCCTATACAGATCCTGGGCATCCTCGAGCACTCCTTCCCCGACCGGCACAAGGGCGACCCCAGGAGGCTGCAGCACTGGGGGACGGCGCTGGCAAAGCACGTGGCACCCACAGATGAAAGCGCCCTGGTCCAGGGGGGCCCACCCATGACCCGAGCAAGGGGAGAGACGCCCAGCCGCAGCAGAAGCCCCAGCCTGCCACACACAAACCGAACCCCAAAACCGGGGCCCACCGCAACACTGTCAGAGAAAACAACGGCCCAGTCCCAAGCCACCACAGTGCCGTGGCAAGCAGCCAGCATGCGGTGCCCACAGCCCGGCAGTCCCGGAGCGGGGGGGAGAACAGCAAGAGGGGGCGAACGAGCGGAGCAGAACACCCAGCCCGCTCCGAAGAGCCCAAGCCCAAGCAGCCGCCTTCCAACGTGCAGTCAGCAACGAGACAGAAGCAGCAGCAGACCAGGCAATGGATGGAACCACCATAGGGGGGACAGCCCAGCAGGAGCCGGTGCAACCTGCACAAGGGGGAACAGAATCCACAAGCACCAACGGCGGAGGAAGCAGAAAGAGTGGAGGTGGTGGAGAGACACATCACTGAAGCCATGCACCTGGCGGGGGCAATAGGGCTGGATGCGGCTTCCAACCACCTGGCCGCGGCGCTCACGAGCCTACAGCTCGACCAGCCAAGGGGGGAGCACCGGAGGGCCACCTCCCAATGCCTTTGAAATTGCGGCGCTGGTGGCAGGGGTGATGGATGAAGCTCCGCAGCCACCCACCACCGGAGAACTTTTGGAAATCCTGGAGCTGGTCCAGGCGGGGGCCGCTTACAGGGGGCCAAAAGAAGCCACAACTGGCAGCAAACCCACTGGGCAGAGGACGCAGCGGACCAGCTGGGAAGGCAAACGCACCCGGCCGACGTCATAGGGCTCCAAGCAGGGGGAGTCGAGGCAGCGTCGCGAGGGGGAGCAGACCCAGCGGATCCAAGACTGGTGTACGCACTCCGAGACTGGCCCCGTTCCTGGTGGGGGACGTACAGCGACCTCGAGCACGGGAGAAACGCGCTGGCCAGTTCTACGAGGGTGCCTACCCGATTCTCCGAAAGCCCAGCTGACAGACCGACGCCTGAATGGGGGGAACGCCGACGTAGCCTTACAAACCCCAACTCCCTGGACCAAGACGACTAACTCTGGGGTTATGGTCTGGAGCGGCTCAAGTCATGAGGGTTTTCAGAAGCCGGGGAGCTGGGGGGAGTAACAGCCGCGAGAACAGGGCAACAAATGTGTTGGCCGTAAACAGAGATGCCCTGGCAGCGCTCAGAGTAGCAGGTTTGGGGGGTGGGAAGGCGAAGGCAGTGCAGTTGTGCAAGGTTCAGTTCGGGATGAGGTGGGGAGGCAGGTCAGGTGGGGTTAAGTAAAAGAAGTCCTGGTGAGTGGGGGTACAGTGCCCACTGCAGCGAGCCGGGGGGTGGAGCCCGCCGGAGAAACGGAAGGGAAGGGACGAACAATCATGACCAGTGGATAGTACTCTAGCTGTTGCCCTTGCTGGTTGGCAGTTTCAGTGTTTGTTGGTGCTTGCAGTTACAGCGTGTAAGTCCCGGCAATAGGCCACTTCCGTGCAGCTGAACTGGAGAGACCCTGGAAGACCCACGTGAAGCTTGCAGGTTTGCCAGGTTATGGTCTTAGATGTTGGTGGTTTGGGGGACGGGGTACTCAAGCTCACGTGGGGGAACGAGTCATCTCTCAACCCCGGAAGGGGCCTTTCGACCTACGGACGTCGCGGACCGTTGAGGGGGTAGGCCTTCGGGCCAGGGTCCGCTTGGGCCCAGACCCCTAAGCAAGCAAGCAAGATCAAGCAAGCAAGAGAGAGCCCGCGAGAAGCGGGTGTGCGTGCGCGCACGGAGGAAGGGCCCTGGACGCTGGCCCGACCTCCAAGCCCGGAAGAGCAAGCAAGCAAGGGGTAGGTCAAGGCCATAGTCTTCACTGTTTGCTGCGAGCGGATTGGCCACATAGCCACCTGTAAGCAGGCAAGGCATATGCTGGCTTATTGCAAATGACGATGATCCTCTCTGTTGAGTTTGCGGATTGCGTTTGCATAGGCAAATCGACCCGCGACCGATGACATCCCAGTTCAGAGGCTCCTTGTGCGTACGTCGGTGCTCATGTATTGGTTCTAACCGAGAGCATGTGTGTTTCCAATTGTTCTGACCGAGCGCATCTGTCATTCCCACGATGATTTGGACTTTGCTCTGTGCTCATGACATAGTAGTACCAGTGGCGCAAATGAACGCCGGAAGCAACTGAGTGGACTCCATGTGCTGTAGCAACAGTGCAGCATTGCCTTCTGATAGCTGAAAAGCTGCAGGACTCCCACCAGTGCTTCTTGGCATGCAGGGGCACATTATACAGACATGCCCATTGTAATTAGATAAATACCTCATATGTAAACCAATGAATATGGACATATGGATACACACATATTTATATATGTACTTTTTTCAAATACACATTTGTACACCTTCAATTAATGTACATAGGTGTACATGCATATGAATATGCATGCATATGCTGCTATCACGCCCGATGAACCCACAGCCCTGAATTTACAAACAAGGTGGGGGGAAGAGGAAGCAAATCTAGTCAGGCACGTAGGCACGATTTCTTGAGTTTGAGTTTACTCGACCTCATAACCAGTCCAAGCAGTCGTGCAACATGCAAGGGATCAAATTGACGAGAATTGTGGATACAAGCTCAAAGCGCACGAGAAACGCCAAGAACACGGACCAAGAGAAAGCATTAATCGAGCTCCACACCAAGACGACGAAGACTACCGCGACCAGAACGACCATGGCGACCACCAGGAGATCACGAGGAAAGGAGAAAGCCAGGACTACGGCCAAAATGCTTCCCCCCTTGTACCGCGGGATTCGCAGACATGACCACAGTGCTCACATACTGTCGGGATGTCGGACCACGGCCAAAATGCTTCTCCTCCCCGCGCAGTGGCAGATTCCGAAGCATGCGCAATGTGCCTCTCAGCATAAAGATGCATTCCCCCACGTGCTGTTGGCATTAAGAAAATTAAGAGACATGACATGTACAGGCGTGTATGGGGTCTGCGTCCGTAGTGCCTGCAAGAACTACAGCAGCATAGGTTTGTAAAGCAGACGGCATTGTCTTCACTTTTTGCTGCCAGCACACTGGTCCACATTTATGCATGGACTGTTTTGCTGAGGCACAGCGATCCGTTACTGATGTCATCCCAGTTCAAAGGCGGGTTGTTCGTTCCTCACATCGTCGGTCTTGACTCCGACCGGGCACCAGTGTTATTGAGGAAATACTCTAGGCGTTGTTGCATGTCCACAATGGAATACTGCGGTATACCAGCCGCTGTGTTTCTTTCCAACAAATGAAGCCCTGCAGGGTTCCCACTGGTGCTTCTTGGCATGAAAAGGAATATTTCCTCAACAGACAGCAGCAGAGGAGATTGCTGCAGGGGGAGGGAGAGGTGACAACGAGGGAGGCAGGTGAGTAAGAATGATGTACCGGTAAGCGGGGGCGGTGAGCTTCACTGCACACCAGGCCAAGCCACAAACCTGACAAGGGTGTTCCATTCAGTTGCAGGGTTCGTGTCTGCAATCGCTAAAAAGGCCACCTGTGCTAGGGTCGCCGCGGTTCCCATTCCTGACAGGTGAAACCGTAATCTTACCGCATTGCTGCAGTAACATTAGGAATTCGCTCCCGCATTTGCATTCAATTGGGCCTTCTCGGCGGTTTGTGCGTGTGTGTCAAAACCTGCCAAGGGTCATCAAGCAGCAACAGCCCGCAACAATGCGCAGGGGGCAGAGGCACCCATGCACACTCACACTCCTTTGCTAACAAAGCTGGCCTGGATGATCACTGAGGACCTCAGTAGCGTACCTGCCATGAAAAATCCCTGAGCAAAGATTAGCGAGCCGCCGTCGAAGGATTAGTAAACCAGATTCAACCTTGATTCCAGTCGGGCCTCGGACCCTCGAAACTTGATGCTTCCACGTCACGCTAAGCTACGCCATTGCTGTAGTGTGGATATATAGTAATATATCATATAGGTGTACATGAGTGTGTCTATGTGCGCGCGTAAGTAAGTGTGTGTGTGTGTGTGTGGGTGTGGGTGTGGGGGTGTGGGGGTGTGGGGGTGTGCTGGGGGTGTGCTGGGGGTGTGCTGGGTGTGTGGGGTGTGTGGGTGTGTGGGTGTGTGGGTGTGTGGGTGTGTGGGTGTGTGGGTGTGTGGGTGTGTGGGTGTGTGGGTGTGTGGGTGTGTGGGTGTGTGTGTGTGTGTGTGTGTGTGCGTGTGTGTGTGCGTGTGTGCCTGTGCTTTATCTTGCTGGAGTGAGGGCCGACCGCCGTCACAGAGTGCACCTTCGAGACCGTCGAAACAGAAGGCGGCGACTATGTCAGAAGTGACGTCAGCCGCAGCCCTAGACAACTTGTCGGCATGACCGCCAGGCAGCCCCGCAGGAAGATCTGAACTTCGTGCAACACCACACCGCTAAACTCGACCTTGTGAACATGTATGTGGACAGGACCAGTCTCACGCTAAGTAACTATTCGGATGGTAGTGGCATCTGCCATTTAACAGAGCCAGCGGTAAGGTTAAGGGCGGAGATGATCAGCGGCCTGGCGGCAAAAGATGACAAGATGTGGCCTAGCAGGGCCCAGCCGGAGACGAGCAGTTAAGCGACCAAGATCCGAGCCTGCAGCCTGCATATGTCCTGCATATCAAGGTCTAGCCCAAAGGGAGACGGTGGTGGTCGTGCTCGACGCCTGTCCCTCATCCCTGCAGGACGACCGGGTCACATGTGCTATTGCCACAGCCTGTTCTGCTGGGTTTCGAAGTATCGCCTTAAGCAGACCGTTCTAGCGTAATGCAGTACAATGTCCGTCCGTTCGAGTGCATGCTGGCCTGCCCGTTGCCGTCTCCTTGGGGCTCTGTTTGTTTGTTGTTTGTCTGCTCTGTTTGCGCTGCGCGTGTGCGTGCGGTGATACTCTCTGTCCCTCCCTCTCCCTCTCCCGCTCCCCCTCCCTCTCTCTCTCTCTCTCTCTCTCTCTCTCCCTCCCTCCCTCCCTCCCTCCCTCCCTCTCTGCGTCTAGGCGCGGCTAGTAGCTGCAACTATCTTCCCCCCTCCCTCTCTTGCTCCCGCTCTCTCTCTTTCTCTCTCGCTCTCTCGCTCTCTCTCTCTCTCTCTCTCTCTCTGTCTGTCTCTGTCTCTCTCCCTCTCTGTGCTCCTACCGTACCTGTCGGTACATTCTCGTGTGCACGCATCGGATTTGACACGACCGTCGGCAGCAGGATCTTGGTCAGCTGTTCAACCAGGGTGCAAAGAATGACTGGTAACTTGATGGCTGCATGCATAGGCACAGGCGTAAGCGCACAGTCTCACGTTCCGTAAGCTTCGAAGCTCTGCTTTTCAATTCGAGCTGCAAATCCAAGCTTCAAGCCGGTGGCAGATCAAAGCAGGAACTCATGTGAGATCACCCAAAGCCTTCGGAATGGCAATGGCAGCGGTATTCGGCGGTGAAGATGGGTTGGTTGGTCGGGTACCGTGTTTCGAAATGTTACAAACATAGACAAGCAAAAGTGCACGCTGTCTCGTCACCCATTTATTCAAGCACTAGCTTTGGGCTGGCCTGCCATGCTCGTAAGCGTTGTAAACGGTAAACTATTAGCCGAATCCGCAGATAGGGCATGGATGGCTATGCCCTTCGCACGATGTCAAGTCACGTCAAGCAATACCGAAGCCATGCTTATGTCAAGCCAGGCGCTTCACATTGCAACAGTGAAACGTTGAATTTGTCCGAATCCTTCGCCTTGCCTGTATGCACTCCTTTGTGTAATATTCGTCTTGGAGACTTTTCGCCCCTGCTTTGCAGCAGGACAACTGCAACGCCAGCTCTCATTTGCGGACGAGTCGCTGGACGAGCTTGTTTCACACATCCGCGCGGAGGAGCCTCAATTGGACTGGCTCGATGCCCGGCAAAGAAGGAGCAATGGACCATTCCCTGGTCGACAGCACTTTTCCATGCGAGTGCCAAGGAAGACTTTTGGAACCGCGTGCTCGTGGGAACGCCTCCTACCGAGTGCCGGAACTTGTCCACGCGCTCCATCGGCTACTGGGTGCGCCCGCTCTATTATTTCAGAACGGGCGTAGCCTGTGCAAGCTATGGTTTTCGGTCTTCCTTGCCCTGTCTAACCAGATGGCCGACCAAAATGCAGACTGTTCAGCTCGTGGGACAGATCTGATGTTACTGGTAGCCGCCAGTAGCTGCTAGTGATTGCGAGCGCCTGTCTCAGATCGGACTTTTCAACCGCTGGCAAGCCATGGGTTCATGGACTCTCGGCCAAATTCAGGCCGTCAGCAACCCCACAAGATGAAGCAGGTCATGCAGGTCAACTGAAAGTAGATGCACATTTCATCAAATACCGTTCGAAGTTTCATGGTTCGTATGGCAGGTTGTCGTATTTGCTATGGTGAGGCACGGATTTCAAGTGCAACCTGCGATGCCACGCCTCATCCGAGGAAGCCAGGCAGTGCACCGAAGTCTCATGGCGCAGTTGCCGTGTCCGTCGATGTTGCATTCTTGCTTGGGATAGGCACATTTCACAGAGTGATTGAAAGTTAGATCTCGACGCGAAATTTAGAGATGTTGCCCCAGGTGGGTGGATTCATGAGTGTTATAGGACTCCAACTGACGTCACTTAGATCGTGTCAGTTGCACATGCGGGATCGACCGAGATTCATGGACGCGTACGAGCTGCAAGAGTTGCTCTCCGTTGCCATGCCGATTCTTTGCTTGGCTTTGCTGATTGAACTTGAGTTCGTGAAGCTCATGGGTAACCTGCACTCCGGCACTTACTACCTCACCATGTGATCCAGTCAGTTCAGGTACCAAGTATAGGTTCAGGTCCATGCGTAGCCGTTCGACATCTTCGCCACAAGGAAAGCCCTTGAATGGGTCAAGCTCTTCGATCCTCCTGCGTATGCGCAGCTTCAGACCACCAGGCCGGGTCAAAGCAAATTATGCGAAAGTGGAAGCCAACGAAAGACAAGAGAGGACCAGAAAAGACTCCTATGCAGTTCGGTCTGAACCATAAGCTCGACCGCAAGCCCATGCCCACGGCCTCTTGCTAGGTCAGCGATGGACCACAAGAAGGTGAAGGTCTTGGTTCCTGCATTTCTGACATGTGGCATCTTCCTGTCAACCACGATCTCCAAGAGGCAAAAGATCCGGTTCTTGCTGCTTGGACTTGCTTGGACGGCAATCTGAAGTAGCGAGTCACGACGCCACAACGTAGGACCGTAGGACCGTACTCGTGGGATGTACATGATCACCGTTGCAGAGCCTAGGCTGGGTATGTTTGACGAGAACGACAGCCAGACGTTTGAGTCTTCCGAATTTGTGGAGATGATTCTTGGTCAGAGCTTGTGTCGAGAGGTGCCTCCGATGTGAAATTTCTAGGCTGGCAACTTGATGCATCTGCGGAAGTCCCGAACCTAAAGCTGGGTATGTTAGACGAGAACGACAGCCAGACGTTTGAGTTTTTCGAGTCCTCCGATGGGCATTCGCTGACTACCGACCCGAACCAAGAACTTCGCCTGGCTTGTCCGAGTTGTGAGAGCGTAAGCAAAGCATTCGCTGACATCTTGTTCTTCCTTACGCCATGGATGACCAAAACCAAAGTCAATCTCAATTGCACACCCAAAGCTTCAGGATCTCCTCTTTTTTCTACGGCATCGCCTGTGCCTTCGCACTTTTGGACTTTCCAGGCGTTGCTCCGAAGAGCCTCGTTGGCTATTTTCGCAGTGATCGTTTTCCTCGTTCTCGCCACGTTTCGTTGCCAACTTTCTTGGGACATCCAAGGCCGAGTGCGCGCCAGAAGCTGGGAAAACATCTTTTCGACCGCGTGGTGAAGGGTGCCTGCTGCAGGGTGCCGTTCTGGGAAGAACCCTGGCATAGAATTTGATATAAGGAGCGAAGTATCTGCGACCCCCTGACCTGGCAGCGAGACACTGTCAAATCAAGTTCGCAGCCTGGTCACAAGGCGAAGAAGATCAAAGCCGACGATTCAGCGCCGCTATGGCTCATTGAAGAGTCACTCGCTGGAAAAACGTTTGGGTGATGAGGGTGGAAGGTGCGATGTGGTGACCCATGGGTCAAGACTGCATTTTCGGATGCATCAGTCCACAGACTATCATGCACAGTAGCTAGGAACATCCTTGAATGTCAGCTTGGCGGTTGGTGCATACATGCATGACCTCTCTGCCCCCTGTTTGTGACAACATTTCTCTATCATCGCTGCCTGGTGTGATGCTGTCACAGACTGTACAGAAGAATCGGAGAAGAAAGCCAAAGATGATCAATGCAGTCCATGTGCATCAGAGGTGGTTCTTGGGTGAGACTGGAGACCCTCTCTCCGCTCCGTTTGCTATGCTGCTGGAACGGTTTTCGACGCGTGGCTTGGAAGATGATCCCGAGTTCTTCGAGGATGAGGACTGCCGTGACCAGATGATGAGCATATATGCTCTCGGGTCCCGGGCCGCCAACCCCCCCCCCCCGAATGGTATCCCCCCCCCCTGCTGCCCTGCTGCTGCACGCCCACCCGCCCTGCCCGCCCCGGCCCCCCGGCCCGCACCTTGCCCACCCCTTGACCGTGTGCGCGGATCGGGAGTGTCGCACTATGCCCTGCCGTGTGCGGAAAGCGGCAAGCGCAGTAGTTTCCAGCATCTGACATGAATTGCAATGCTGAATTATGAGGGTTGTATGGCGATGGTGATGGTGGCAGATACTCTTTTGAAGGTATTAGTATGATGAAGATGACGACGACAAGGATAATGTTGAGCATGGTCTGATTGTCGACTCATGTCCCGGTCTAGAGCAGCACAACATCATGAGCAGTATCACCGGTGCGAAGACAAGGAGTAACACAGAAGAACGTCGCGGCAAAAAGAGTACCACCACAGGCCCCACACCACAGGGGGGGGCGGGGGGGAAGGGGGGAGGATACCAGGGGGTGGGGGGGGGATGGGGGGTGTGACAGCCCTGCATCATATATCTGCAAAACCCGCAGAAAGCCACAACAACTCCAGCGGCCCTCTTGCAGGAAAGAAGGTTCAAGCTGTCCCACACCAGTCCAGTGGAGCCGCCGTTGGAAACGGCAGCCTCCTTGGACTCCAGTCGCTCAGCGCAAACAGAGAACGTCGGGTTTAGAAATGTTACTGAAGACTGCAAGTCGGAAGTGCGGTGCTTTTCGGCATAAGATTCGAGCAAGTCGCAGCCAGAGCAACTCACAAAGGCTTTCTTCGCCGTGGTGAGATAGGCCACGTTGATTTCGCGCCCACACTGTGCTGGTTGTTCTTCAGAGGGAGAGAACCACGTTGACATGATTTCGCAAAGAGCCGTTCCTGAGGTGCAGCATGACGCGTGTGATGTTTAGGCTGTAGACCGGCGTAGTCCAAGTACTACCACAAGCTCCAGATGTAGGATTCGGAAGTAGACATGTTTCAGGCAGGGCCAGTGAAGCGTCATGTTGAGAAAATCGCTTGTTAGACCCAGCTGGATGAAAGCGTGAGTTTGCAGGCTTGGTGCGAAAAGTTTATGACGAGTGCGAAAGGCAGCGTGATTTCTCTTTATCTCATGCAGACGTGGGGCGCCACGTGGTTGCACAAAAGGTGATGGCTGCAGTGATACTGAGACATGGGACAGTGGAATGGTCTAAACCTCCCGTGCACTTGTGCCCTGCATGTGACTTGATGGGGCGAGTCCTTGCGAGGTGCACTTGGGGAGCCCATCCCTCCGGATCTATGGTGCAACCGAATCGCACGAGGTCCCATCTTCAGAGAGACGAAGCATGCATGCATGTCTGAGGACACGCATGCCGGCATAGGACCGCATTTCCTAATGGGGCAGCACAAGCGGCCCTCAAGCCCAATTCCGCATGCACTTCTTCCTGTCTTCAGTTTTTCTCTCGTCTTTTGCAGCGAAGCGCTGTCTTTGTGCATGCAATACCCACTGCACGCTAGATCAGGAAAGCAGGAAACGGCCACTGCCAACTGCTTTAAACGGGCTGGGGCCGCTTCCTGCACGGGCAGAAGAGACGTAGAGGGCCAGTGCCCCCCATAAGAAGGATGACAGGATGAATGCAGGTGTTGATGACCAGCTACTTTCTAGTGACATCTGAGGTTTAGACGAGATGGAACGAGTGCGTGAGCTTGGCCAGATGCTTGCACTGACTACTGACTGTGAGCAGCGATACAAGGATGCCGGATATGCCGGCACTGTTTGGACAGAAGAAAGGCCAAAGCAAGACCTCGTATGTTGTGGCCTTGCAATCGCCTTGGTGGCAGGACGTCGTGTTTTCCTGATGTTCTGTTGTTGGTAGTTGTCCAAAACAACGTCGGCCCCATTACGAGAGGCCTTGCTATCGCTTCAGCTTGTCAGAGCGTGGGTCCACGTTGTCAGCTTGAGCTTTGTTCACCGCACTTAGGAAGACCAGCTTGCCGCTCTTCCTGAAAAAGATGTGCCCTAATGCGAAGCCTCGCCACCTCCGCATGTTCCAGACTTGGATGAAGGAGCCGCTTGAAGCGCAGATATGTGTTACAGTGCGCAGTCATATCCGGTTGCGAAACGGCCTGAGTGAGTTGCTAAGACAATCTTGACCATGATCCCGGCTCTTCTTGCCGGGGCAGTGAGGTTGGATCACATAGAGGAGCTCAAGGTGCAATCAGCGACTTCTCGCCGCGTGCAACAGCATTTTGAAAGTTTCCGAGCTGCAGATTCGCATGTGCTCGGTGCGACTCATGCGAAGGTTCCTTTGCATGTTGCCAGGCACTGTTTTCCTGATTCAGGTTATGTTGCCCGGCCAATATTGCCAGCGCGTGTTCGCCAAGAGTTGCTGCAAGAGTTTGAGAGTCTTGCGCACGCCTCAAGCGAGGCCAGGAGCGGGTTGCAGTAGTCGATTCACTGAACGAAATTGTAATGAATGGTGTACCCATTGGCCCTATACACTGCCCCTCGAGGCATTCAATAGTAGAGCACGCACTTAGTAACAACTGGCCTGCGATGATAAAGACCTTGGCAACGAGACTGAAAGCGTCGCGCAGCATCTCGTTGCATGAACCCGAACCTCTTGCATCCTCTTGCAGCAATTGCACAGGAACGAGTCATGCAAGATGCCTTGCGAAAGAAATTCTTCGATGGAGGCTCGAGGGTGACCAAGGACACCATCTGCGCTCGCTGCTTCTTTGCGATGTCGAGTCTTTGCTTCCGCTTGCGTCTTCTTGTGCATGCCGTCCACAGTTTGCAGCTTCGGAGTCGTTTTCGGGCCAACTCACGAGCCTCGCATGTGCTAGGAGGACTACCTTGCTGCCATGTGCCCGACAGACTTTCGGCACAAGGAAGGCCGCTTGGATGCCGGTCCAGTGCACGGCTCCGCACACGTTTGAGGGTTGTTTCGGCCCTTCGCGATGAGCCTCTGCAGTAGCAACCAGTTGGCAAGTTGAGACCCCTTCTCCAGAACTTCCTACGGCCCTACGGCGTGTCTCTGAGAGTCTGCTCAGGCAACCCGGCCATCAATCAGGTCGTAGGCCTGTGCAGCTTGCTGAGCGGCTAGAGTCTGCAATCCGTCATTTGTGCGTGAGCCATTGCTGTTCTGCTTTCCGTGGTCGTAGGCCAGCTGCTGAGTGCTTGGGCTGCAGTTTCCCTTTCGCAAGATTTGGGTTGGATGATATCCTTTTCGCCGACCCCCCCCCTCTCTCGGCTTGCCAAGCACCTTGGGCAATTTGGGTTCTTGGTACCGAGGAATGCAGGTGGTTAAAGTGGAGGAGGCCCTCTCGCAGAAGGCTCGGGTGTGTGGCAGGTTGGCCGCTGCTTGGACTTACTGCCCTGCGCATGTTGAGGAGGCTTTGTTTGCCAAGAGTGGTGAAATTCCGATTATGAGGCGGGCCGGGCGTGTCTTGTACCCTGAAAGGACACAGGGAAATCGTGAGCGACACCTGGTGGCTTCGTTGCACAGTTCTTCACACACGTTACGTGCGTGCATGCAAAAACCTCAGAACCGGCACCTGTGACAAGAAGTTCCAAGTTCCTGTAACGAGAGGAATTGACTTTGCCGATCAGGCTGGCTGTGTTCGCATGATTTTGGACTCCTCAGTCAGTAGGCCAAGATCTGGCCATGTCAGCCAATGTAGGCACTTAATTGTTTCTGCCAGGCTTGTTTGCATACCTGGTCGCTGGCCACAGCTGTCACCGGTTGGTCTTGCTTTGCATGCTCAGAGACTTAACGACTTCATGTGGCAGCCTGTAGTGAGCCCACAGGAGGAAGTTCATCAAGCACTCGGTTCCAGATAATCACTGGGCCTTGTGGAACCAAGCTTTCGACGCTTTTGAGAACGGCACGGGCAAAGGACTGGACGGGTCAGCGAAATCCGCAGCATTATGTATGCATGCATGCATGAACATGTCGATGTATGCGTCTATGTCGGTCGCTTGGCAGTTCGGTAGTAGGTAGGTAGGTTTGAATGGTACTAAGTTACCAGTAAACCAGCAACGGAGCTTGCCGGCATGCAGGTAGGCAGGCTGGGCAGGTGTTGTGTATGCGTGGGCACATGTGTCCTACGTATGTAACCGTATGTAAGTACACAGTATGTGTGTACGCAATGTATCCGATGCGTGCGTGTCAATGTGTAAGAGTTCTTCAGTTTGCTCCTATGAATGCATGAATGCATGCAGGGATGTGTGTGTATATGTGCTTGTTTGTCGATGTATGTCTGTCAGCGTATGTATGGCAATGCATGTCCAGCAAACATTGCCAGTTTGCGTATGTCAGGCAATACATGTCAGTTCGTCTATGCCGTATGTATATCAAATTTGTCAATGCATGTCAGTAAAGTTGCGTCAGTCAAGATCTGTCAAGCAGGCATGACAATCGTTGCAAGTCAATCTGCATGTTTGTCAATGGTTCATATCAATGAACTCCTGCCGGTGCACGTATGTCAATGTGTTGCTGTCATTGTACATGAGCCATTGGACCTGTGCCAATGTCCGTGTGTCAACGTGCGTATGCTAGGTAGGTATAGGTACATCTGTAGGTATGTAAGCATGTATGTACAGAGGTACGGTGTGTAGGTATGTATGCATGCACGTATGTATAGGTGTATTTCATATATTTGTTTCTCGACTGTAAACTCAAAGCTAGGTCCGCGTTTGAAGCGCAGGCACTAAACGACTTCTGACCGCTATCTACTTGTGGGGCGCTGCAAACTTTTGACGAATTCTTGAAAGCCTGCTAACTAAAGCTTGCATCTAAAGTATCCATCTTGCATGCCTACCACTGAGCTTCACGCGAAGATCTTACATATTACAGTATGTAGCGCCCAAACTCTCCACCTTGAGATCATACTTCACCCAGAGCTTTTTCGCACTGGCGATGCCTCTCATGAGTAGTTCGCGCTGCGACTACTGGTGGCTCGCTGGGTATGTCTATTCGAAAAGAGGGTGGTGTAATTCAGTACGTTCATCGAGTCCTTTCCTGATGTCTGCATTGTGCTTATATTGAGAGGCATATGAACCAGCATTGTCCATGTTCTTTACTGTCTGAAACTGCAGTGGTCTGCCTACTCTTCGATTCCCTTTTTCTCTCGGAATAGAGGAAGCAGTGGCAACAGCGGCCTGATGTGATGGATTCTGTCTTGGCTTCTGCCAATTGACAGGCATTCTTGAATTTTTCTATGTTTCAAGACTTCTGTCAGAGGCTTCGCTTTTTGGTTCGAGCCATTGGTTGGTGCATTGGTCTCCTAAGCCTAGTTCACACGTTTGTAGACATATTCAGTGGTGTTTTATATATGTGTGCAAGTACTTAAGTATGTATGCATGGGGAAGCTGCAACAAAGATCCTACCTTGCGGGGGATGCAGGCGTGCATCCCCCAGCATGGCACATGCAGCTCCCTGCTTTACTAAAACCTGTTCAGATTAAAGGGAGGTTTTAGGCAGAGCAGCTTGAGGACAAGTGTCCATGTCGGAACTCGTGCGCCAGAACGACGTGTGCCCCATGGTTTGTGAGTTCATTTGCACCTTGGCCTTCACATGTCGTAACTTGGGCGGCCGCAGCACAAGTGTGCCGCTGCTGTGTTTCTGTGCAAGGCAACATCATTACCGGGAGCTCCGACGGCAGTGAGCCTTGCTTCTCCAAAGAGCTCTTTTTGCGGAGATGCCTTGAGCTGAGCTCTTGGCGTGTCACGAAGGAAGTGTTGAGCCAGGGCAGACTCTGTGCAGTCTAGCAGTCTAGGATTGTTTCGGACTGACACAGGTTGCCGAACACCGGTGACTGTAGCTGGGAGAAGATCTTCGTGTCTCATATCTCTAAGCATGCTTTGGCCTCCAGGAAATACTTTCGTCAAAGCATCGAGATCACCCTGGGAACAGCGGGACTCACGAAGTTTTGCATTCAGTAGAATGCTGTGCTGTTTCGGTTGGTGATTGGCGCTCCTCTCGGCCGCACCAATCCAAAACCCGACGCAACAGCGACACGACCATTCTTCGCTTCGGTGTTCTTGTGCCGCTTAAAAATGAAAAACGGCACCTCCTATGATTACATCTCAAGCCGAACCAGGAGAACGAAGGTTGCACCTCCCAAGAGCACTTCGAATTCCACCAGCCTCGGAACGGCATATTGGCGGCATATCCCGAAACATAGGTGGGCTGCGGCAGGAGCGTGATTCTCGACAACTCGACCTCCCAATCTTGCAAGGGAGGCACCAGGTATTCCGCCACAAGAGCACGCACAGACGGAGCGTCAAGGCGACAAGAGGCGGCGACACCTTGTAGAGTTCTTGGCTTACCCTGGCCTAGACAAAGCGAACCGATGGAAAGCGCGCTCTGTGTTCCCTCGCAGTCGTAGGCATGAGCTCATTCACATTAGATTCGCTCCATTCCAGTCGCACTCTGACAGCTTTTTCAACAAGACGTAGCAGATCGTCAAAGGACGACAGCTGCTGCGGGTACATGATTTGTTGCTCTGAGCAAGGTGTGCAGTAGCTGTGGAATCAGGCGATCTCCTCCCAGCTGCCAGGGTAAGAACCACCTGCATGCTGCAGAAGGCTGTGGCGACTTCATGCCCAATCAGAGTGATGCACTGCATTCGCTTCAGCGGTTGCCTGTTACAAACCTATTGCTTTCAGAGTTCAGCCGTTTGGAATGTTTCGACGAGGAGTAAAGAGGTTCGGGATCAGCTACTCCAGCATCATAGGTTTGCCGGAGGTGGAGGGACCCTGCAACAAAACTCTCTGCTACTGCATAAGCTGCGGAAGACTACATGATCTTCCGACACCTACCTGGAAACTTTCATAGTTCACAGGCTTGGATGCTTCGTTGACTTAGCTTCGTGGGGTGCCTTGAAGGAATGCGTGCTTCCGCGCAGTAGCTTTGGCCCCTGTTGTCGGGCGAGATGCGCATAGCAATGGAAGTGCACAGAGAGAGGGAGCAGGACCACCCTTTCTTTTAGGCTCGGAACAAAGGTGTCAGATGGCGCCTTTTCATTTGTGAATTTGGGTAGCTCATTTGAGCTTTTCCAAGAAGCTGTCGTTAGCCCAAGTAGCATAGGCAGCTTCGACTCCACACTCATGCAGTGCGACGATTGCGACTGCTTTCTGCCAGCCGATGCCACAACCCGCAATCCCTAGAAGGAGCTCAAGACGGAAGATATCAAGAATTGTGTCGGAGACCTTACATCTGCTTGGGTTGCTGGGCAACCTCCATTGGCGGCTTGAAGCCTTAAACGCTGTCGCGCTTTAGGCGCTTCAGTGTTGCACGTTATATCTGTCCGTGCTTAGTGACCTGCAGCCGTCCCGAAACTGCAGTTCTCGCTTGGCTATCGTTTAACAACAGCGGCAAGGCGCAGATGCAATGTACGACTTCAGAAGAGTGCTCTTCTGAGGCATCCGTTCGAGCCGACCGTTTTTGCCACCTCCGCAGCAGAACTTGATCCAAGGGGTGATGTGCACAAGGGCGCGACCATAAGAAAACTGAAGGGGGCTGGATTGTTTCTGACGGAGGTCCTGCGAGCAGGGACTGTTGGTTGAACCAGGCTATTTAGCCCGTGCCATGCAATCCGCCCGTTTGCTTAAAGACGATCACGACTAGATTCGCAGGCAATGTAAAAAGCCTGTTCTCCAACGGTCATGTTTCGCTAGGGCAGTCACGACGCCTCACATTGAACAGTTCAAGTTTTCGCCAGGCAGGATCCTTGAGAGAGGCTCCTGTCTGCACACATTGAAGGGCTCCTTGATGGCGCGAAGCCGTTTTTCAGGTAGACAACGGAACCGACGGAACCGTAGAATCCTTTTTGTGTTCTCCTTGACTTTTCAGGCTCAGGCCCGGCATGCCCGGCCTGCGATTGCGACACGACTGGGTACCCCGAGCCCCTGCCGATCGTGGGAAAAGCGTAGGCCTAGGCTAACTTCACGTTCCTGTCTTGGGAGTGTTCCGACAATAGCTGCGGCGAAGATGATGCGCTTGCGGGGGCGCGCATCGACATCGCAAGGTTTCGTCTTCTTATTGAGTAGACCTTGCTTAAACCATCTTAAACCCACCGGATCTTTTGCTGTCTTGGATATCATGCGGGCGGTATCCAACCTGTACTCTATGCAGGTAAGGAAGCCAACTTCGGGTCGCAGGAAAGAGCGGCCATTGCTTTGCTGAGGTTGTCTGGCGGCCGGTCTTTACAACTGCGCTTGGAAACTTCGGGCAGGCCCGTCCAGGGTCTGTTCAGTCGGTATGAAGATTGATGGTAATCATGATGGTTACCACCACCACCAGCATCATCATCATCATCGCTGCGAGACCGTTGTCGGCAGCATCGCTGCGGTTGTGGTCAATCGCCCGCCCCATCATCCGAATTTTCGACCTTTTCGTCGTTGTGGTCCTCACCGTCTCCGGTGCCACCACCGCTGCCCCGCCTTTTTCTTGTGATTGCGAGTACAGGTGAACATGGATAAAACAACGGAGTGCCGGACAGGCAGAGGATGGAAGTCACACTCACCACTTAGCGCGACGGCGTCTGCCAACGATACTGCAGGAGCCGATCTGAAGCTCCCGATGTGGTGCGGTGAGCAGCGTGTCGATGCCATGCTATAGATGCATGCGCTCGGATAGCTTTCCATCAATCAGTCCCGGACAGACAGAGCCAGAGCACCCGAATCTTGACGATTTGCTGACGGTATGGCTTCCAGGCACTTTCTAGCCCATATAGAGCATATTCAGAGCGTGCCAAGTGGCAGCACCCGAAAGTTTATGTGAAGAGAAGCTGCCACATGCGTGATCTTCGTCAGGGGCTTGTTTTGCAAGGATCTCACTAGCACATGAATATGAGGATTTCTGAGGAGTGATACTTGCACCAAGTTACCATCCTTGCGCAGACCTCATGTGCAGTATCGTGCAGTACCCTGGAAAGTTAGTTAAATGCGAGACCGGATGCTTTTGCCAGCCTGGACAACGACAAGCTGCACATCCAGCTGCCGTCATTCAACCTTTCGTCGAAGAAGGGGGTGCGCCCGTGAGACGTGAACGCTATCGTGCAGGGGAATCCGTGATGTTCCTTATGAGATTGCTTTGACCTTCCGGATTTGCGTGAAGGGTGCTCCTGCAGCTCATTTGTGAGACTGCAGAACCTTCTGCCGCCAGCGTCGGTTCATGTCAGTTCCCGCGTAGCGCTGGCGTTGTACTTGCAGTCATGCAGCATGAACTCAAACGAAAGGTTTAAGCATTCGGGCCATTGGCAGAGCCTGTGCAGTGTCCTTTTGCATCAGTGCCTTTGGGCTCCACTTGCGACACGCTTGCAAGAACAACCTCCATGCAAGCCGTCAGAGTGTGGCCACTGCCGTGTCATCAGCTTCAACGGGATGTTCGTCTCTTGGCTTGGAATCTGCCTGGTTGTCTGTTGGCTCAATAGGAACCCAGATGACGCTTCGACATATGGGCTTACACGGGGGCTCGTTAGGGGTGCTGGAGTGTAGGTTTGATTTTTTGTGAAAGACTAGTTAGGAAAGTCCTGATTCGTTTACCCTCATCTTCCGTGCACCTCGAAGCACCACTTCGATTCTTCTACCAAGGGCGCTGTGCTTTCGGCATTGGCCCGGTGGTTCCTTCCCTCACGGAAGCAGGAGGGACGAGAAGCAAAGGAGGCAGGGATGGAGATATGACATCTCTCACGATGCTACTTTTGTCACAGCTACAAGTGCCTCTCACTCGATGCGCAGGAGCCTGCAGCCCCTGCGGACAGGCAGCCAGCGCTGCCATCGCAGACGCAGGTGCAGCGTGGCGTCCTTCGTGCGCATTTGCAGCCAAGCTCCAAGACACAAGCTGTTGGCACAGGTCACCTCCTCGACCAATGAGGCGTTGCCCACCGCCCCGGACGTGGCACGAGAAGGGCAGGCACAGGCACCCGGTTTTATGTTTTCCATACAACATGGGATGATTCCGAGAGCTTGGCAACAGGATTTTGCGATACTTGTTGAGACAACCTTCTTCGTTCAAGAAAGCCTTTTAGCCTACTGTGCATACCGGATGCTTCCATCCACGAGAGCGTTGCTGGAGTACTGTTGCGGATACATTATGAATTGCTGTCAAGACGCCAAGGAGCTGTCACCGCCTCAGCCGGAAGCGGCCGAAGTCATCCCAAAGGCGGGACATAGATCTTCCGCAACATCCATGATTGAATCTGCATTGCAGCCCCGTCAACAATCTGAAAGACCTATCGCCAAAGTGCTTGTTGTCTCAAGCATCATCACAAACAATCCCCTGGTGGTTGTCTGACTCTGTGCTGTGGAACTCGCCGCAAGGAGCCTGCCTCAGCCTCTAGTGCGCTCGCGGCAGTGGCAACCTTGCGAGAGCTGGAGGCTGGAAATAACAACTCCTTTCTGCAGCTACTTCCCAATGTGTTCGTGTCTGTGGCTCGGCGTCCCGCTCGTTTTACAGTCGCTGCATACACGAGCCCTATGCTCGGTAATCAGTTTGGCCACAGTGCTGTACCCGGCCCTCTCCCACCTCGTGTCCCCCTCCGCAATGTCGAGTTTTGCACAACCTTTATGTTTGATGTGCTTAGCATCCGGCGAAACAAGTTGCCAACAGAGCTGCTTGTGGCAGATGATTGCTGGGTAGAATATTTGCCAAGGGTCTCGCAAGCCAAAGTGCCAGCTTGGCAGACGCCAGGTCGTCCAAACACTGGACACTTCCGACCAGCAGCCACCGGCACCCACACTGACGCATCCTTCCGACTCCCCAG